TGCCATGGTGGGTGAGTGTGTAGATGTGCGGAGAGAGGGAGCTACTGGGGTACTAGTAATGGTAAAGTGCTATTCTGTAACGTACAGACAAAGTAGGGGTTGACTTACCGGGCGCAACAGGGAGACAAAGCTCTGCAACCAATGTCTACCCGAAGCGAAGTCTTGAGACAGCAATCTGCGTCAATCTCAGGTCGTCGTGTCGTTCCGAACCGCTGTTGGGCGCCAAATGTTACGGCCCGGTTTCACTCAGTCAGCAGAGCACGAGGGTACAGTAATGGGTAATGGTTATCATACGGAATTGCACACTTATTCAGAGAGAGAGAGAAAGAGTTCTCAGGTAATACACTGTAGTCTAGCATGAAACTAATCCCGTACTAGTCCGTAGGAAACTAGAAAGGCAGCAGCTTTTATAGCGAAGGTAGAGAACTAAGGTTGGTAAGACAAGGATTACGAAATCATCCTTCTACAAGTTCTAGAATAGTGGAGAAGGCAAACCTAGATCATCATTGCTATACAGGTAGATGAAGTGAGCATTGCGTAACAATGACTAAGCGAGGTGTTCTAGAAGGTGAGATATGCAATTTAGTCAGCAGCATTACTCATCAGGCATATTACTGTAAGGTATAGAACATTCCGGAATCAACGACGTGATTGACTAACTAAAAGGAAGTGGTAGAAGTACTAGTTCTAGAAGTGCTGACAACAAGGTTACAAGCATGGGAGATCTAATTATAGCTTATGACGAGGCTTACATTTACGTGCATGTACTACAGTACTAGTAGTCGCAATCAAGTCATGTACATGTCATAATGTATGCATTTCTACCCTAACACTTTTGATCGTTATACTTTCCGGTTTTAATTACAGTACCTGGAAGACAGTGTCTGCAGTGTACATCTGCCAGTACCATGGTGTAGGTCTACTATCGGAGTGGATAACCATCTACTACTACACGTACTACTACTACTACTACTACTACTACTACTACTACTACTACTACTACTACTACTACTACTACTACTACTACTACTACTACTACTACTACTACTACTACTACTACTACTACTACTACTACTACTACTACTACATAAAATTTAATTGTAGTCTTTGTATACCTGGTACTAGACCAGGGACGGCAGGGAGCCCTACACAGAGTATACATGATACAGACTCAGACAGTAGGTTACTACAGTAAATAGTGGATATAACGTGCCCCTTTGATTTTCGATAATTTATCACTATATCCGGTGCATCACTATATCCGATTTGCATGTATGACTGACACATGGCACATGACTGTGCATGAAATGATGCGTACATGCTGGAAAAAGCATGAAAAGCAGCCACGTGTACATGTGGCTGCTTACAGCATACAGGGAAGAATTTTCTCTCAATCACGTCTGCTGCCAGATGCATCCAGGCAACACTGGATCAGTTTTGGAAGAAATAAACTAAATTTGAAGAACAATTGTTTTGTGATCATCACTCTTGATCAGTATATACGATATTTTCCTGTGCATTTGATATGGTTTGCTTGCTGAAGCCCATCACAATAAGCGATATATCGGTATAGCCGATAATAGTGTGTATAGTGATATTTTAGCTGTATTTTTTTGTGATTTGATTTTGATTTTGGCGAGTTCGATCATTATAGCCGGTATATCGTTACACCCGGTCACTTTATAAACCATACTCACAGTACAATACTACTGTAGTCTTGGTGTTTGTTTGTTTTTTTATGATCACCATCAGGCATCACTGATACAACGAAATTATTTGAAAGAAAAAGAAAAAAAGGCCAGTGTAGTAGACTACTGTCTGTACTGGCTCTGAGTCTGTATACAGTAGACCCAGGTGCTCGAAGTCCGTACATGGTATCCTAAGTTCGTACGCCCATAATTTCATGTTCTGTTATTGTATTCGACTCAAATATTTTATGGAGGGGACAGTGTGGTATGTTCTCCTCGCGTAGCAATTTTCAGGGATCTACGATAAGCAGAAGTCCCATACCACGCGAGTGGGTTTTCGAGTGTCCATACGAAATACAAATTGGGTTACATTTCATGCAAAAATCAACTTTGCCAAGACCAATTTCGAACGGACACAGCGTCAAACAGACCTTCACTCAATCATCAAGAGCCAGCTTAGAGCTGACAATGGCCACAGGAGAAGAATTTACAGAGAACCACCAATCCTTGCAGAAAGGTTGACACTCCTGGCATCTCCACCACTGTTTTCGCGCGGTTTTCACAGCGCAGCTGCTTCTTCTCTGAGCCGACTAAAAACAGCTTGCATTTCGGCAACAAACTACGCTTTTGCAAGAAATACTGGTGGAGGCACATGCCAAACATATCCCTTCGGTACTTTCGTCGTAACCGAGGGATTGCAAGTTAGCAATTAGCAGAAATATGTGTGTATTTCGAGTCACCTCTGATCAGTACGGACTTAGAGTACCCTCTGCGACACCAAAATTTGATATGAAAATCAGCGAACTCCAGAGAAACAGATCGGATCGAAAGATGGCCTGGTTCAATCGAGCCTGGCCTCAGAACAAACTTGGACAAGATACCTTCCATCCACGATCAGGATTCTGGCAAGTGATCATTGCTAGTGTGAGTTTCAGCTCGGCAAACACACACTGTGAAAGTGTACGGACTTCGAGCACCTGGGTCTACTACTAGATCGAGTGATATCGACTGTGCAGGCCGTAGTCGCAGGTGTAGAGCGGCCGCAGCCAGGAGTAGTAGTCTACATGTACTACCGCAGGCAGTACAGGTCTACATGTATGTCACAGACAGTATGTGTAGGGCTCCCTGCCCTCAGTGGTGTAGACCATGGACATGGTACTTGCCACTTGGTACTTGGTAGGGACATGGTAGACATTCCTCGGCTCAAGACAGGTAATGTCGTTCTTTGCCTTTGGGTTACCCCGTTGGAGGCGGCCCCCTTGTTCACAATATCTGTCACGATCATCGATTCGCCGCATGATTCGTGGTCAGATCAATCCAATCCGGCTCTTCAGACTACAGTCAGTACTGACGTACCTGTCCAACACCATCACTGTCTGGAGATCTACACTACAGCCTTACAGCCTAATACAGGATTAGCAGTTGAGCACTTTCCCCTGAGCTGCATACAATGGACCGACCAAAACGGATGGACATCGACTATTCGCTCTGCATTATAATTATGTTTTATCGTCTGATGAGTGTTTTTTGAAACACGAAACTCGGAGTTACGAGAAGGATTTTTGGTCTCTGTTGTTCTGCCCCGTGCCTTACAGGATTATGTAGCTCAGTACTTCTTTACACAGGAGTGCTAGCTAGCTCAGCTGGCACTTGGCAACAACACTCTGTAGTGTCACACAAACTCACACAGGAGATCTACACAAACAAATCTTGTAGATCTTCTACATGTACATGTACAATGACGTAGCACTACTTGTAGATCTACTCCTGAGTCGGACCTGAGTCCTGAGTCCTGAGTCCTGTACTGAGTCTGTCATGCTGTTGGCTGTAGTGTAGATCATGGACATGGACATCAGGGTTTACCGTGGTTTACAAACTATTTTACTGCAAGCCGGGTTGCCAGGTGCGTGTTTACCACCATAACTATTACGGAGGATTAGCAAGACGAAATCCGCGTTCGCGTTCGCTCCAAGGAAAGTCGAACTCAGTGACAGAATTCGCGTTATGAGAAGGATAAAAAAAAAAAAAAAGAGAATTCGCACATGCATGACGTTGACACGACGTACATAGTCATTGTGTGCAGACAGTACAGCGTGGTAAATTTATGACTGCCCTGACACGAATCCGCGATTCTTGTTCCGACTACTACTACAGTCGTACCTCTCTAATCCGGCACTTTATAATCCAGCACCCTCGATAAACCAGCACAATTTTCAGTAGCCAAATGTCCTCTTCATGCACATTGCAGCAGTAGATCAGATTTGTTAATCCAGCACCCTCCCTAATCCAGCAGATTTCCGTGGCACAAATGGTGCCGGATTATAGAGGGACCACTGTACTAGTACTTTTCCGAACGAAAAATGCGAAAGTTCGCAATCCAGTTTGCGAACGCGAACGCGAATTTCGTCTTGCTAATCCTCCGTATTATGAATAAAGTTTGTGAAGTAAGTTTCTCAGCATAGCTACTACCATAGGCATAGGCATAGATCTACGTGTAGTAGTAGATCTACTGTAGATTTGTGTAGTACTGTACAAAAATTCTAAAAAAACTCAAAGTTTGACCAATTTTATGGCCAGAAGCTAGAAGTCAATCTTTTTCTGAATGGACTGTAGACGTGTAGTAGAGCTATCTCGTTCTCAAGACAAGTACATAACAGACTAGTAGTAGTACATGTACTACTACTAGTACTTAGTAGTAGTACTGTCGTGGACATGGAAATCCGGTGGCACGTCTAGCGGCCCCAGGCGCTGGCCATGCAGCTGTAGCACGTATTATTATCATGATTATGCGCTGCTGCGCAGCTGCTGCTGCCGTGCTCAGTGCCAGTGGTGCTGGCCTGGTCGCATCGGAGCACTGCATGCAACGACTTACGTTCTGTACGCGATGAGGGTGCCGGCCCCGCGGGGCCCGGTCAATCGACTGGATTTCCATGTCCGCTACACTACAGACTCAGTAGTAGTAGATCTACATGACTGTAGCCTTGTAGTAGGTCTACGGTCTAGGCCTAGGGATTGAGTTGAATCTTGTACACAACCTTGTTAAATTTTGATTTCATCGTCCAGTTTCATCCCTTGTATCTAATTCTTTCGTTTTCTAACTTTTCTTCCTTTTTTCCATGTCGTACTGTTGAATAAACTCGTTTTGAGTAGATCTACTACACGTAGATCTGTAGATTTACTCGTCATACCGGCGGTAGTACTACTAGTACTAGTAGTAGCCTGTTTTCTAGCTAAACTGACTCGATCACTGCCCTAATTATTTCATGTGACAATCAGACGTAACTTACATGTAGATCTGCTACTAGTAGTACTAGTAGTAAATTGTGTTTGTTTGGTAGATCTACTCAGCGTGAAATACTGCAGAGCAGCGGCGAACTGCGGCGAACTTTCATGAATGTTCTTATTTTAATTCAACGAGTAATCATGGTAATCGCCGGATCTGACCGCGGAACTGGGCCGGCGAAGAAATGCCACGTACTAGCAAAATGTCATGACGTTATCTCCAGCCCTTTAGCGAACTGTGGGTTCCTTCGTGTGCAGCAACTCCCCCGCTAGGTCTAAGTCTGCCCACGCGGCTCCATTCTAAGACTAGTGTGCTTGGAGACGGCACTGCAGGACTCGCAGTGAGAGATGGAGCAGGGCTTCCACCCGGACTGGCATAGTCTAAACGTGTTTATCACGAGCCGCACATCGGCTGAGATTTTTGGTAAGATTGAACACAATCATTATGACTAAAATTATACCGGATTTTCCCCCATAAATGTACCGTACTTTTATTTTTTCAAAGGTGGTCAGACCTATACTATAGCCTGTACTACTATAACCTGTACTACTACTACAGGAGACTTTACTACTGTCGTGGACATGGAAATCCAGTCGATTGACCGGGGCCGGCGCCCTCAGCGCGTACAGAACGCTGCGTGCAGGGCACATGTTGATCCGATGCGACTAGCGCGCTGCAGCGCATAAAATGCATGACTGTGTGGACGCGTACCGCTTACTCACGGCTGCATGGCCAGCACCCTGGGGCCGCTAGACGTGCGACCGGATTTCCCATGTCCACAACAGTAGTATTGGAGACGTGTACTTTTATTGTTTCTGGAAAGATTGATTGCCTGGGTTGGGTGGCAAGCAACTCATGATAATGATACTGTAAGGCTGTAAATGCATCCCACCATGGTAAAGATCAGTGTACAAAGACACAAAGATGATGAACGGGTAAGAAAAACGAAGTAAGGTAGACCCTGGTACCTGTATCCCAGTAATGCCCATCACATCATTCCGGCATGTACTATTATTAGAGACGTGTCCTTTTATATTTTTGATCCACACTCAACATGTACTACAATTGGAGACGTACTAGTATTGGAGACGTGAACGTTTACATGTCTCTAATAATAGTGCATGCCGGAATGATGTGATGGGCATTACTGAATGGGGAAAATACGGTAATTATTTCAAGCTCATAATAGTATTTAAACAATCGACGAGGAGACAATAGTCGTAAAATGGCAATAAATAAGATAAATTGTGCACTCATAACAACAGCAAAAATGAAGAAAGTCAAGTTCCATAACGTCTTCTTGTGACTGTCATTAGTGGAACGCCGTCACATAAAAATGTAATCACTAAAACACACACTTATATACATGTAGCTAATATGGTTTCAGGTAGAAATACAGCAGCTAACAAGTACAAAAAGCGAAGTTTGCACCTTTGCAATGTGTGAATATAGTGTATGTGAGAAAGGTAGTGGCAGATGAATGCGATACTGTGTGAATGAATGTAATGGTGCGTGTTTGGTGTCCAGTCCAGAATGTCGTAAGGTGTTTGACGATTCCTGGTTTAGTGTTATTCGTTGCGCACGTTTCTTCAAGCAATTGCAGGTGTTGGAAGCTGTGTATATTCGTACTCGTGACCCTGTGCTATGTAAACAGAAAGAAAACGTTGTATCACTCACACTCTTCAAGTAATACACACGCACCATTACATTCATTCACACAGTATCGCATTCATCTGCCACTACCTTTCTCACATACACTATATTCACACATTGCAAAGGTGCAAACTTCGCTTTTTGTACTTGTTAGCTGCTGTATTTCTACCTGAAACCAAATTAGCTACATGTATATAAGTGTGTGTTTTAGTTATTACATTTTCATGTGACGGCGTTCCACTGATGACAGTCACAAGAAAACGTTATGGAACTTGACTTTCTTCATTTTTGCTGTTGTTATGAGTGCACAATTTATCTTATTTATTGCCATTTCATAATAGTATGTTGAACCAATATTAAATGTTTTATGTGAAAAGTAAAAAGGACACGTGGATACATGGATACAAGTTTTGAGTACTTGTCCACCACTAGGATATAGCCGAACCACACAAACAAACAAATCCTAGAATGAATCTTCTAACTGGAACTTTGATGACACGTCATCATGCTGACAATCAAGCCTTTGCTGAACTAGACTATACACTCATATCTTGTTTATCCGGGCGGTCCGGGACAGGGCACTGCCTGTATCTGTGGAAAGTCCGCGACTCCGAATCACATACATTTTCATTGGGAAAGGCCATATATAAGGCATGTGACGTAACTATTTCCACAAAATGTCCAAAATTCGAAAATATGTAGTAGTAACATCCCCCCACCCCCCCCCCCCCCCTCCATCCCGTCTACATTTTTCCTGGAACAGTCATACAAGATCGCACAGAAAGCTAGTTCTCGTGTACTGGGCGGCTAGTGCATGGCCGTTGGAGAGTTTAAAATTTGATTATTTCCCGCAAACGATCTTTAGTGGATAATTTTATTTAAGACCACTTGTTGGCGCCTGGGTACATGTTGTAGCAGACTATGGTGGAGATCTACCCCAAAATTCAGGACATAACCTCACTGCTACTGGCACATGAAGATGGCCCACGCAATGGCCACCATTGAACAGGCCTATTTGATCGATTCGTTCGAGGTACTTCGCAAGTCTCCAGTCGAAAGATGGATGGCTAAATATTACTAGGTAACTTGGGTCTTCTTCGTGCGAACATAGTTGGTCTGCCTGCCCTGTGTTGTTGTGAGCAGCAGTGACCTCTCGTTCTTATACCTTGTTTCAGTGCGTATTTTAATCGATATTTTTTTATTTTGCACAATGTCCGAGAAATCTCTAGACCAAACTGTCATAGCGAGTGAATGAGGTTCATCCAGCGTGTTGTGAACCCTCTGATTCTCTAAAGTGTCAGGAACGAATGACCACACGGCACGAGGACAACTATTGACTCTTTTAAAAAGGTATATTTCACTTGATCGAACATAAAAAAACTAACACTAAGATCACCAGTTATTTATGGCATGCAAAAGACAGCGTATATCAGAAAAGCATACACATAATAATATAACATACATGACAGTGTATACAATAAATCGCACATAGCGCATGTAGCGTATACCATGCAGTAAACATCAGCTAGCGGTACGGGTACGGCAGACCCGAAATACAATATCGAAACAACCACAATGTCATCAGCCAGAAGGCATTTCACATTTGAGAACTTGTGGTTTTATAATACAGGGATAACAGCAGCCATCTTTGAGCAATATCGGAAATTTGGCAAAGTCCGGTGATATTTTGGTCGTTACAGCCGTCGACTGTTAAAGGGGAAGTTAAGGCAAATATCAAAATTTCACCAGTTGTAGTCTTCGGGGTGCTGAGTCGAATGGTCTTGGTCCGAGAAAGCTTAGACGCTCCCTTCCTACTTGAATCCCAATCGAACTCGCGCACTTCCACCGAAACTGGGTGACTGCGCCCTACTAGATGGGGATTTGTATGCAAAATGTCACTAAAAGCGCCATTTCGTTCTTATAAAAGCACGGATGGCCGCGATTGGCCCATATGTTGTAGTCTTTTGGACGCTGAGTCGAATGGTTTTGGTCCGGAAAGGCTGCGATGCAGCGTTCCTCCTTTATTCCCAATCGAACATGGTTGAACAAGCGGTGACGTGCTCCTGGGTGCCCAAATCACCTGGTCACCACGCCAGCAGGCGACAACTTTCACACCAAGGTTCAACTCGAGCTCAACTCGAGTGACAGGACTGCACCCAAAAAAGGTCAAACAGGCTAGTAAGTTGTACCCTGCAGGCACGGTGACCAGCTGACTGGTGTACGCATGAGCACGTGACCGCTTGTTCAACCATGTTCGATTGGGAATAAAGGAGGAACGCTGCACCGCAGCCTTTTCGGACCAAAAACCAGTCGACTCAGCGTCCAAAAGACTACAACATATGGGCCTATCACGGTCATCCGTGCTTTTATAAGAACGAAATGGCGCTTTTAGTGACATTTTGCATACAAATACCCGTGTAGTAGGGCGCAGTCACCCAGTTTCGGTGGAAGTGCGCGAGTTCGATTGGGATTCAAGTACGAAGGGAGCGTCTCAGCTTTCTCTGACCAAGACCATTCGACTCAGCACCCTGAAGACTACAACTGGTGAAATTTTAATTTTTGCCTTAACTTCCCCTTTAAAACCTGTCAAGGGGACCACTCGGATTAGGCAACCACTTCTTCACTTGACAGAAACAATAAAATGGTGTCGAGAATCCATCCAGAATGAAGTTGAAGACATCACTGCCGCTGTACTTATGGTTGATAAATATGGTGGTAAAGACACACCTGGCAATATGGCGGTAAACACACGCCTGCCCACACACGCTCTCTAGGCTCCAAAGTTCTGGCACAGAGCTCTCCTTCTCACCACCACCACCATCAGTTCGCGCCTGGCGCCTGGTCGATGCATGCATCGACCAGAGAGATTATCGACTTCACTTGGATGTCGGAGCCTTCATCTTCTGAGGAGCTTGAGCTGGATGATTCGTATTTCCCATTTCTTACTTGAAGAGTGTCATCATTGGGAATATCCTTTCTCATCCTCAAAATTAGTCCAAGGAATACTGACTACACCCATCCAACTAAAGAGCAGCGGCGAATGAGAGCGCCAATGAAGGTTAGTTTGGATCGTTTCGAAAGTTGGAAAGGGAGCAACCACCCACAGTCGGTTGCCTTGTCCTGTGGCATGGTGGTAGAGCATACAAAGCAACTGCTCGTGGTGCGTGGCCGCCTCGAAGCACTGGTAGCTGGCATATCTACATGGTCGCACGTGATCGTATATAGATCTACACTGCACTGCTCTACAGTCAGTCTGTGTAAATCATGGATATGAACGCCAGTACAGTATCGATGTACTGCGTGTGTGATACTGTACTCCTCCACTGCACAGTGATCGGACTCGCGACCTTTTGTGCACGCATGAAATTTTCGATTTTTCTCAGCAGTGCACGTTGCACAATTTAGGGGGTTCCGTGGAACCCCCAGCCAAGACCCCCGCCCTGGATGCGCCACTGGTCATGTACTACCTACTGGGTAAATAATGTAGAGTAAACCTGGTTTAAGTGACCACCCCACTGTGCAAGCAAAAGTGGTCGTTAAAGCCAGGTGGTCTGTAGAACCAGATCCCATACACTCGTGGTATATCGGATTATGCATACATGTGCAGGATTGTACTTCAATGTACTCATATTGACAGGTGTGGAGCATAGAATACTCTCGTGGAGGCAAAGCACACCTCACTGGAGTGCATGCAGCGCATTCTGCACTGTCACTTGTCACTTCAGTTGACTGCATCCACTTGCTTCAGAGCGCATTTCAATCCTGTTGCAGTGAACTCTGCCAGCCAAGATGGCACATTTGGTTTGTTTTGGTCGCTGGGTGCAGAATATGGCACTTGGTACACAAAAAGCCGGTCGCTGGTCGTGCAAGGCAGGTGGTCGCTGTATCCGGTGCAGTTTCTGTATAGAACTGTCCGTGCATGGAAAAACGGTCGTTAAGATCAGGTGGTCGCTAAAGACAGAGGTCGCTTACACCAGGTTTTCCTGTATTGGGACCCCCCGCATGCTAGCCTGTACGTGACGTGTGTGTGTCTAATAACATCTATGATGAGCTAGGCAAAAAGCATACCATAGGGCCCTGAGCTTCTAAGCTCTCTCGTTATATTTTTTTGGTCATTGGTCCGGCGGACCTGCCGGACCTGTTCCTATGCAACTATCGTTTGCACCATGGCTGGTAGCTCGGCTTGCTTAAAGCTTGTAGCTGTACTGATGAGGCCTTTATGGCCGAAACAGCTTGCTGTTTACAGCATTGGGTATGATCAAGTATGAACAGTGTGGGAAATAATATGATATCATGACTATAAGCAGTTACAATGAAAATACTATGTGGTGGTGTATTGTATGTGTGTTGTGATTGCAGAGTGGAGGACGTACGACAGTGATTTCCTGGAGGGTAAGTTTCGAAGTCTGAAGAAAATGTTGAACGGTTGCTGCTTAGATGACGACTACACCATAGCTTAGGCCGCGGTCGCACTGCAAGAGCTTTTGGCTGACCAGCTGAAACGCTTGTTGCGCTTTAAGCACCATTCAGCTAACTGTCTGGTCACACTGCATTCTCAGTGCTAACTGAAAACAACATGTTCAACTGGTTTCCAATTTTTCAAACTCTCTAATACAAGCTCCTTCCCAGGTTATTTTAGAAAGGAAAATGATCCAGCTGTAACCAACGAGAGCCTTACTTTCCTGCAACAAACTTCTATTCTTTCCTGAGCTGACGACGATCATCAAACTTCTATACTTTGATGTTCCGCATCTTGAAAGGACAAGTGTCAGCTTCACAACATGTCTCGCCGCTGGCTGCAGAGTGCATGCATCGGAGGACTGCTGGAAGCTGTTTTCAATTGGTCCGGTTGTACCTAGTCTTTCATACTTTGTGTATAATATAGCAGGGGCGTATGCCCTCCTCAGCATTTCCAGTAGCTACCAAGTTGGTCCGGTGTTAACCTGACCAACCGGACCGGTTCCGGCGGGCATGCATCAGTAGATGTGGTGGACAGGTCACTCACATTGAAAAAGACATGAAAAAAACCACGGGAGAAAGACAGTCCAACTGGAAAGTGGACGATCCATTGACACTCAATGAAAAGCATGATCAAGACGCTGCGGCTGAATGTGTATGGCGGAATTCAGCCAGACTGTTCTTGGCTAAAAGACGTTGAGCGGAAAAGCTGCAGAATTCAGCCGAAGTCAGGGAAAAGGTTGAAATGTTCTTTGCATCTTCGGCTGAATGCCTGAAAAGTGTGCAGAGTGACAGCGGCCTTAGTGGTAGAGCATTGCTGGCCATGAGCGAGGGTCCCTGGTTTGAGTCCTAGTGATGACAGTCAATTTTTTCTTCACACTTTTCCCATTTGCAACTGTCCCTCAAAACAATGAATAGTAATTAACCCTTTACCGTTTTAGGTATTTGTACAGCAAAAACCGACCGTCACTGTTCATGCCGTAACTTTTTTATTTTTCACTTTTATTATGTACAAAATGGGGTGATTCTGAAAGTAAAAACCCTCAGGAATGCGATGCAACAACTTTCAAGTCCAGAAAACGAACACAGATTTCACTATTTAGCACTAATAATTATTTGGATGTATTGCCGATCGGGCAAACTGTTGCAATATGCAATAAATCAGATCCTTGCACTGGAGTGGCTCTCTCAGGTAAGTGGATACCAGGTTCGTTCTCTGGGTGGAATGCAGGAGTGTTACCAGTCACAGCGGTGTCAGCATTGTCCCAAGTATTGCAAATATCGACTAGTGCAGATTGCACCGCTGGCTATACATACTACCTGTACACCACGACCTCTACCGTGACGACGGCCTATTCCAAGGCCGAATCCTCTCTCTCTGCCACGTCCCCTTCCACCATTAGTGGCACTCATCTCAGCGACACTGTCGTCGTCTGTGACATCCATGGCACTCTTACTGGCGCTGCTTTCACTCGCCATGTCATCGTCGCGGTCGTTGTCAGAATAAATATTTTCAACAGGATTGTCTGGCTCCACAAACTCATCTTCGCTGGATGAGGCAGCGACAGAGTCGTCAGGAAGGGTCTCCAGAAGCGAAAGAGCTTGCTCCGCGTCCATGGCTTGCACAGCAGGGCAGACAGTCGTGAGGCCAGCTCAAGCAAAGTCGAAATAATCTGCAGGCAGTACCAAAAGTCGCAGGGTACGCACTTTTCCCCAAGCGCATTTTTCAAGTCGCGATTTTCGCGATTTTTTATATTGCATCACACAAAAAAATTGTCGGCACCCTCTGCGCGTACATCTTGGCTACCAGTAGGGAAAATCCCAGCTCTCTGCGGTGAACCAGTCCAGCGCTGTGCGCATAGAAGTCATCGACCGCGAGCGGTCGAAATTTGTACGTACAAACGGTAAAGGGTTAATGTAGTGATTGAACTCCCTCTCTCGTGGCACGTGCACTGGATAGTGACTCGGCCAATGATAATTTGTAGTAAATTCTTGATGTGCATGAGGGTCCGCCATACTGTAATGGATTTCGGCACTCTTATCAACACTCGCGTCAACATCCATATCAACACCAGGGTTCTAGCCAAAGGAGTTTGGGAAGTGGGCATTGCCCCCATTGCCTACTCTGATGGCACACTGCCCTACTCATTGTTAGATTCTGTGTATTTTCAGTTCACACAACGAAAAATGGGGCCTCAAATCGATCATTTCGGGTGCTCGCAGCACCCATACGTTGCATTTTGTGTGACAAGGTAATAGTGGAACATGGAAAAATGGGTAAACTGTTCGTTTCCCCTGCCCCGCCCTCACAGTTGTTTTCCTGGCTAGAACCGTGAACACTCATATCTAGGTGCAAGTGCAGATTTTAACCTAAAGCAGTGACTCTACTCCCTCGAACCCAGACCCTGATTCTGTGGAACAAGTTTGAATACTTCCGATACGAGAATCAATATCGCATTATTTTTCAGCGAGACTAGGTCAAATTCTAGAATATCACATCGAGGAGATGTTTTTGCCCTTGGACCGAAAGTCCCGTTTCCAAATGACGAATTTTACCGGTAGGTGGTCTGCACTCAGCGCTTTTTCAGGGAGTAAATCTCTGCTTGTTCTGGTCAGGTCGCAGCTCCAAAAAATACTGGCCATGTGAAATTTCAAGGCGGTGAGATGCTTTCAATTTCGTCTTCCTCTATTAGCAAATTGTTTTGCGCCAGCATACCAAAGTACAGTCATGTATATACAATAATTATCGTAAGCGCACTGTACACGCACTTCGGCTGATGAGGCTTTGTACAGTTGTGCTCTGTGAAATCCGATCCAGCGTGCGTATTTGGTGCCCTCAACTAGCACGGGCCTTGACACACTAGAAGTGGCACAACTGCGGCTGGACGTACATGAACACATTGTACTTCAAAGTACAATACAATAGTGTAATCAGAACTGATCCAGGGCGCCAGTTTTTCACTCTGGGTCGGATTTCACGGAGTGCAAATGTACATGCCCAATGGATGTCGAGTACTGGTAAGCTCACTGTAGAGGTTTTGCAAACCTGCATTCTGCCTTGTTCCCTGCAGCGCTGTGCAAGATGGAAGAAGCTGGCTGGGCAGTGAGCGCGTTACCGCTGGAGAGAGGACACACATTACAAGTTCGAGTCTTGTATAGTAGAAAGGTAGGTGAAATGTTCCATGACACCACTCTTGTTTCGGAAAAGAATCCTGTGCGAATATTTTAAGTAAAGAAGTTGAAGATGAAAACATGACCTATTATCATTGTATTAGCCAAGAGCCTAACCTCTATTCAAACTGTTGAGTCCTCTGAATCCTCTGAATCCCCGTGCTCGACATTCACAGCCTGTCAGCGGGCGAGCTAGGCTGGGGAATACATTTATATTGGGATAAATGACGAGGTGTGAGACAGAGAGACGAACAATTACATGCAGACTGAGAGCAAGAGAGTGAGATAGTGAGATAGTTTGAGGAAGTGCAAGGGAAGGCTAGGCATAGGGTCTGGGTAGCTATGGCGAATTAGGATGGTGATCATGTGTGCAGCAACCCAGGCCAGCGGCAATACGATAACACGGGAGCTATGAGTGCAGGATACAGGGTACAAGCTTTGGCAAATATACCGGGGAAGTCAGATGCGTGGGATAAAATGTAAGGAAAGTGGTGACCTACTAAAAACACTATATTGCACGAACGCATAATTATTATGCTGTAGATCTATTTATTCCCGTAGCTATGCAAAAGACATTACTTCAGTAGCGTCTGGCGCTAGCCAGGGTCCACACAGCTTTAATTCCATTTGTTTTTTTGGTTTTGTTTGTTTGTCACACACGCACGCACACACACACACACACACACACACACACACACACACACACACACACACACACACACACATACATGTCCCGTACCGTACCATCAAACACATCCCGTATGTGTTATGTAACGTAATGCCAGTTTTATTGTATGAAGGAAAAGCGTATGTAGGGCGTCGGCATGTCTCGTACATGTCCCGTACAGTACCATGAAACGCATCCCATATGCGCTATGTAAACGTTTATAAATAGGGAGACGAGGAGGAAATGCAATTAGAATTGACGTTACTTCCTCGAGGCGACGAGGAAGGCCTAAAGCCGCCTGCGTTTCATGCCAATCGAGCGAGGTACAATGCACAAGACGCACCGTGGTTTATCGTCTGACCTGCAAATGCTCGGAGAAGTATGTTGGAGAGACTGGCCGTAGTGTAGCAACGCGAACAAAAGAACACAATGATAACTCACGCAACAAGACGTCTGGAAAAGCCCTCGGCGAGCACTACCGAATTCACCATGGCGGCGAGGTACTGCCGCTTGGTGAGTCGGCATTCACAGAGGTTCGCGTCCTTGCCACTGAGTCGGATCGGGCCAGGAGGAGAATACGCGAAGCCATACAAATTCGCGACACGAGCCCCAGCATAAACAATAACGGAGGGTGGGACCTCCTGTGAAGTCTCTGGTGAAGTACTACCTTGTACATATTTCTGGCCCTGATACTCGCTTTTCCTGGATAGTGGTGGTTTTGCACCCCCATGCACTGTTACTACTACTGTTGTTGCTAGCGCCTGCAATTACATGTCTGTACGCACCTAGTGTACATGTACATTCTGTTTGGTGCCTGTACCTCTGCCATATTTAGAGTTGTCGCGTATTGCGTTATTTCTATACCAGGTTTTTTTGTTATGTTTTGTCCTTTTTTCTCTCTCTCGTAATACCGTAGAATCCCGCGGATAAGCCCATGGGCTTATCTGTTTCACAAGGACATTTCGGTGGGCTTATACGAGAACATGGGCTTATACGCCGACACCGACATTGTGCTATTGAAAAGTATCAAGGAAATGAGAAGTATATTGCTGAAAACTACTGTGCACACAAAAACAACCGATGATTGTGTTGAAATGTACGAAAAACGAAGAGAAAAAACTACATGTACATGTACATGACTATGCACGTGGTATGACCAAGAGTCCATAATTTATGGACTCTTGGTATGAACTAGGCCCATGGGCTTGTAGGATGAAGCTCTGTGATGTTCGAACTAACCCTGGGCTTATGCGCGAGCATGGGCTTATACGCGGGATTCTACAGTAGTGCATTCAGGTGTGATTTGTTATCAGTTCGCAGCTCTCCTCATTTATTAACCCATCCTAACCGGTGTGCCCACTTCATTCCTGATGATGGTTATTTCATGACCGAAACGTTGAAAAAAAATATTTTTCTGGTGAAAAGCAGTGATTTGAGTGTGAGCCAGTGTTGCTCACAACCAATTTTTACTTATGAAGCTGCGTGATTAGGGTCCAGCGGATAATGCTCCAAAAATGTTCGTATAATGCTAACCATAGTGCTCCAAAAACTGCCTTATAATGCTGATTATAATGCTTCAGCAAGGGATATAATGCTCTTGGTTTGGGACAAAAATGGAAGAAAGTCTGCACATTGTCAAACTTCCAGGAAATTATGCATATCGCCAAGAGTACATAACCAAGAGTGTGCAACTGCCTGCACAACCTCTATGCTGTGCTGCGACGGCAGAACTTCACATCACGTGACATGGTTCAAAAGGTTATGCTGGCAAACAGTGCAAAGTGACCACAAGAGAGTTGTACCCCAAGCTGGGCTGCGTACAACCCAGTATCTATCATGCACTAGAGTGCACGGGTTCATCACGTGATGTGAAGTTCTGCCGTCGCAGACCCCATAGCTGGAGTTGCACACTCTTGGGTTATGTACTCTTGATATCGCCGATCTGCATCTGAAGCTGCCACCTTATCTCTCACGAGCTCCACCACTTCTTAGCACTATAAGACATGATCGCTTCTCCATTGATTGCTCTCCATTCCAACTTTGATGCAGGGTTGCGGCAGAATAGTCGGTTGTTGTGAAATGATGTGTTGTTTTCCTGTGTGATGCAATTCCCCAAACTGTCTCGTCTAGTCGCGTGCATGTGTGATATAACCATGCTCGATTTGGTAGTCGAAAGTCCTTTTGTCAGTCTTCTTGTTCGTCTCTGTCAGAGCAGTTTGCTTTTCCGTCTTGTAAATATAACATAATGTAACAAACCAGTCTTGTCTTTTGTGTCCTGCGTCCAGGGGAACAGAATGGGTGTGATTCCGTAACAACGTGTATCAAATCTTTCCCCTAATTATCCATGTAATGAGAGATGAAACCATTATTGCAGGTAGTCATTCATTGTTGGGATGAAGTTAATCTTGGCAAATAGTATTCCTGCCTGCAGACAAGCTGTCACTGTGTCCACTCTGTGAATAATGTCTTCATCTGAAAAAACATACGTGAGGCCAGCTCCTGAGATCCGATCTCAGATGGAGAAACCTCCCATTTGCGGAAATCCTGAAAACACGTGGTCAGAAGTTATTGTGCCACTTTACATCCTTTGCTTGTGCTCTCATCTTCTCCTTGAGATGGTGTGTAGATGTATCGCTTGCCACAATACTCTTCCTTTCTGATAGCATTGGACTGTAGGCCTGGCATTACTACCGTCCACAACTAACTGTACGTGCTTCATTAGGAAAGTAAGACAGGCGCTGCTCAGAAATCGACTTGGCACTGAGTCCATGAGAAATTCTAGTTCTTTTCGAGCCTCCTGAGCTGGACTCGCCAAAGGCAGTTCTTTTGGAACGAGCTATTTCTGTTTATAGCCGCTCCTTCATCCTGGTCCAAATTTAGCAATGCATCAGTGTCTACTTCAGTACCGCTAGAGATGCTATCGCCAGAGCCTCCGGCACAACTAGAAAACTCTTCTTCCTCTGTTTGATATTCACTTCGCATATGTCTCCTCCATAGCTCTCCATTATTCTAAGAGTAAAAGAAACCTCTTAAATAATTTCTCCGGATTTGTGTCACTTGAACTGCCTCGGCCTCGGCTGGGCATGCTTCACAAATGGCTTGTATACGTTTACCTGACCACATCGCTACAATCATAACGTTTTTATGTAGCAATAGTTAGCGTTAGCGCTAACGGTGTTACATGTAGATATACGTGTCTACACAAAGTCAAGCACCGGTGCTCATAGTGCTCAAATGCCTGGAATGGGCGAAGCGTAGTACGCACGAGGTACACAAAAGGAGTAAAATAGGGCTGTGTCGTTGTTACTCAGAGTTTCATGGCAAAAACCAATCATCAGACAACATCTCATGATCATGATTGTAGCCGATTGTTGCCAAAAACCTGGAATTTCCCGATATTATCCACTATGAAACTCGTTATGCCGCTCAAACCTCACACAATGCTCGTTTTGTTCCTTTCTAATGCTCCATAATGCTCTGATGCTCGGATAGTCGTATAATACCGAATATATTGCCGGCATTATCCGCTGGACCCTATTCGTGATGCGTCCTACAAGATTTTAAAAGTTACTTCCTCCGTTAACAAAACACTTCGTGATGGATTTTTCAGGGACTGGTTTGCGCACAAACTGCCGTGAAATGAGTTGCGATCACTTTCTCGGCCTTCCCCGGCATGTCATGAAAGAGGTACTATGCAAGAAAAGCGACCTTTCACAACATGCTGAGCGGAATCGATGGTTACGCTGTGGCAACATAGGTGATGACAGTCATGGCGAGCGAAACTGAAATACCACTTCTCCGAGGGCATAATGCGCTACTTGGCCTCTCTACTTTTTATTTCATTTTTTTACAATGATCACAGCTCACAGGCAAAGACAAAAAAAATATGCATAGTGGGAGCATAGTGATGGTGAGGCTTTTTGCCCTCAGCCGACCTGAGGTCTCGCTACTACTCTAGCACTGAGTTTGAGATAGATAGAGAGCGATGGAACGGAGCAGCGAGCCCACACAATGAGCGTGTGAACAAGGAGCTGCTCCGATCGCACGGCACAATGAAATAATTCTGAACTGGTAAACGTTCTTGTTCAACCTGTGCAAAGCTCAGATTCGAATGCTGATGGCCATGCATTGTTTCAGAAATCTGCAGTCTGACCCGAGTTTCGTGGCTAAGGAAAGTCGACTGGACTTGCTAGCTGCTGCCGTTAACTGCTGGCAGGAGTATCCATCGGAGAAAATGGAATCAGTTTGGCTGTGCCTTTACTCCTCATTTCGCGGAGCTCTGGAGAGCGAAGATGAAACCAGGGAGTCGTAAAATTTAATATTTTTACGACTCCCTGGTGGAAACGAGTAATCGCCACCGCGGCGGATCACGCAGCTTGAAAGCCAACTTGCTTAAACGATGGCGACATCAGGTTCAGTGGAGTGCAATCAAAGAAGCGGAAGCAAGGCTGAAACGAGCTGAACAATGACTCGAGAGAGATGTTGACTCGCGTGCAGCAAATGGCGACAGCGACGCGGGGTCAAAAATGAGTGGAGCGAAAGCGACACCAACTGAACTCTCTGCTCATTTCGCCAACAGTTTCTCTTGTAAAGACGCTGTGCATAGGCTGAACTACCTTCGTCCAGTGATTTGCACTCGATACAAACTGTTCTTGACCTGTTCTAAGCGCTTTCATATCCATCAAAATCCATCACGAAGTTTTGTTAACGGAGGAAGTAGTTTCAAGAGAGAGCATTTGAACCTGAGGAAGTAAGTGGGTAATCATAGTTCGAATTCGTGACAGGATGCGTCGGCAGCAAAATACCGCTGAGCAGGTATCCAGGCGGGTGCAAAGAAAACGAGATGTGAATAGTCATCACCGGTCACAGGAGACTTTGGAAGAGAGATCCTGTCGTCTTTGAAATAATCGTGATCGGCAGAGGCAGCGCCAGTGAGAGGAAACGTAGGACGAGATAAATACGAAATGAACATAGGAGGCTTGATGATGCTGATTCGCGTCATGCTACTGCAACTGCGCACACGGAACCTGTGCGGTCTATGATAGAGGAAAAGAATCATTTAATGGTGTCCTCTTTCACGCGTGAAGAGCGCCAGCGGTAACATGCATCAAGAGCTAGGCAAAACAGCATAGTGTAGGGCCCTGAGCTTTCAAGCTCTCTCGTTTATACAATTATATCAGCGTGAAGAAGAGGTTGGTGCGACTTCGGCGATACTTGGTTGAGCTGGAAACGGAGCGTCTCTGTAAGTTTGTATCCACGGTCATGTTTGTGCCTGGAGAGCACTACATAACGTGAAGTGGTGCTCTTCAGGCACAATCTTCCTCAGCCTACTCAAGCTCAACTGATGAGGGGTGAATTCCCCGGAACACTGTGTATTTAGCAGGGAGTGGTGCTTTCCTGCACGTTTGCCAAGTGGAAGGTTCGATGGACTTCTCGTGTGCTCCTAACGGCAGTCGTGAGTCAGTCAAGTGAGAATTCAAGTGGGCAGGAATAGCGCAAGCTCCCACATAGGGAGCAACACGCAATTCCCGAATTATATCAACGTTGGTCCCATAGCTCAGATGGTTAGAGCATTGCTCATGACAAGCAAGTTCCCGGATTCGAGTCCTTGATCCTTGTGGTGGTGTTCCTACCGGCCTCCAGCCGAGTCTCACGTGATCCGTGATATTTTTTAAATTGTATATCACAAATGAGAATCCTTCGCCTCGGTACAGTGCTCAATATTCATTCGAATAGATTTGTTGTAAGCTAAAAAGTTCCATGTCCATAGGCAATCATCAGACAACTTATTATTAGTTGTCTGATGATTGCCTATGAACATGAAACTGTTACAATGAATGATGAGTGGTGCTCTGTGTCGTGTGTAAATTTTATATCAACATGATTGTATGCATGTGTGTGTGTGTGGGGGGGGGGGGGTGCCTGTGTGCATGTGTGCCTGTGTGCATGTGTGCATGTGTGCCTGTGTGCATGTGTGCCTGTGTGCATGTGTGCCTGTGTGCATGTGTGCCTGTGTGCATGTGTGCATGTGTGCATGTGTGCATGTGTTAGCATGTGTAACAGGAAGCATACTAGCAGCTCCAGTCAACAATACAAATCAAACTCACTCTTTCTAGAATAACCAAGAACTGAGGGGAAACCCTCGTCGTGGCCAGCTTCATCTTTTCAGAATCAAATACACGGAGTCGTATTCGACTCCCTGCTGTGTTCAGAGTACAGTGTCGGGGGTAGAATAAGGATGTGTAGAAATACAGTGTGTTCCTAAAGGTGGATAGTGTGTAGAGTACTAGCTGTTCATGATACAGATCACCATACAGAGCATGCATACAGGCAGAAGGAGTGTAAATAATTACAACGAAATGAGAATGGAAAGCCAACGGGAATGGGAGAAGCAGTCTCTAAGACCATTCCCGTCACAGCATGCCAGAAAAAGCCACTTCAATCAGCCGTGTGGTCTAGGCCAGGCTAAAATTAGTGGTGGTCAATTCACCAGCTTTGCAAGCTGTTGAATGGTGGAATCCCAGCACAAGTTGCTGCGCATCAGTGATGGGCAGGAGTATGAGTATGCGAGTGTGTGTGGTGTGTGGTGTGTGTCGCATTTGTTAAGCGCAGCGTTTATGCTCATTAACAGCTAGCATCATTGCAGCTCACCGCCGCGGGTACGTGCTGCCCCATGTCCTCGAATGCACATGGTGCCGCACAACTGCCCCTGCTGCCCCATGCCCTTGCATGCGCATGGTGCCGCACAACTGTCTCCGCCGCCCCTTTGTCCTCGCAGACGCGTGGGGCCGCACACTTACCTCTGCCGCCCCATGTCCTTGCGGGCGCATGGCGCCGCACAACTGTCTCTGCTGCCCTGTGTCCTCGCGCAGGCATGGTGCTGCACAACTGTCAGTGTTGCCACTCACATTTATCCCAGCGCACACAACGTGCCCATGACGTCAGCAACCATACTGATGTCCGGTTACCATGACGCAAAAATGGCGGCCCATTTTCTTGCTCCCTTGCTGACAATCTCTTCTCAAGAATTGTTCATGGTGGTGACTGGTTGTCAGTTTATTTGTTTCTCGTGACCACCCTCCCACTCCCATATTTATCCTCACATGCTTACTTTTATAAAGTAAACCCCAATAAACGGTGCCCGGCGGCTCTCCATTTCTCCATTGAATGCATCAGTGGCTCTTGGCTCTTGCCAACCCTGCTATTACTTGCCCCCCGGGCAAATGCCATTCAATTTCGCCGGCCGCGCACCATCCACCCAAGCAATGTGTGTTCTTGTTAATGTGTGTGTGTGTGTGTGTGTGTGTGTGTGCGTGTGTGTGTGTGTGTGCGTGTGTGTATGCGTGTGTGTGTGTTTGTGTGTGTGTGTGTGTTTGTTTGTGTGTGTGTGTGTGTGTGTGCGTGCGTGTGTGTGTGCGTGTTTGTGTGTGTGTGTGTTTGTGTGTGTGTTTGTGTGTGTGTTTGTGTGTGTGTGTGTGTGTGTGTGTGCGTGTGTGTGTGTGTGCATGTGTGTCCCATATGGTGCAGTGGTATGTGCAGCGATTTCCAATCGATAGGTTGCGGGTTCGAGTCCCGACGATTATGGTCACACACGTCTTTCTTCTCTTTCTCAGACTCTTCCTGACTTTTCTTTCATTCTCCTGGGTGGTTACCAACAGCCAGTGCATGCCGGAGTATGTGGTGTGATGTGTGTGCGGGAAAAAAAAAATGAATAGACCAAAAATAGGGATTCACTGGCCAGAAAAATCACTTCAAATAGCTGTATGGTGTAGACCAGGCTGAATAGTGACGGTCAATTCTTCAGCCTTGCAAGCTGTTGAATGGTGCAATCCCAGCACAAGTTGCTATGGCTTCTGCCGTAGCATTGCTATCATCGCCTCCGGCGATGGGCGTCAAAGGTCAAAGGTGTGTGCATGTGTGTGTGTGTGTGTGTGTGTGTGTGTGTGTGTGTGTGTGTGCATGTGTGTGTGTGTGTGTGTGTGTGTGTGTGTAAGCCCATTGCTGAGCAGCGAGGGGCTTGCCACTGTGGAGATTGTGGGTGTTGGTTTCGAAGCAAGGGTGGTCTAGCTGGTCACCGCTGTTCCTCACCTCAGCCTCAGCCTTAGCCTCCCGAGCCCCGGCAAGTCTATGTACAGGATGCCTGCTATGCTGCGCACTGTGCTGTGTGTGCCCGCTGCTTTCGGACTGTGCAAGGCCGCGGTCATCACTGGTGCTCGAGGACTGGCCCCCGCCCGACTGCCCAGCAGCGTAATTCGTTCAGTCATGTATGCGCGTGTTCTCGCCGGTTCTGTTTGCTCCACCATCTCCGGCGTCATCAGCTGCATGCTCCATCTTCCTCTCTGATGCCCCTCCGGGGCCCACGTGACCCCTGTGGCAGTGGCTCTACAGGACAGCACAGGTGTGTGTGTGTGGGGAGGGGGGGGGGGGTGCGTGGGGGCGGGTGGGTGAGTGGGTGGGTGCGTGGGTGGGTGCGTGGGTAGGTGCGTGCGTGGGGGGGGGGGGTGCGTAGGTGGGTGGGTGCGTTCGTTCGTGAATGCGTGGGTTGGTGCAGGCGTGGGTGCGTACGTGGATGGGTGCGTGTTTGGGTGGGTGCGTGGGTGGGTGCATGCATGGGTGCATGTGTGGGTGCGTGCGTGGGTGTGTGTGTGTGTGTGTACGTACGTGTGTGCGTGTATGTGTATGTGTATGTGTATGTGCATAAGCACTCATGTATATTTGTATGTATGCTATGTATGTATGTTCCTTCAGGTAATATTCGAGTCTGATTGGACGAATTCTTTCCTTTCAATAGGGTTCGGCCGTTTTAACCCAGATCTGTCTCCGCGTACATTCAGATTCAATTCTGAAAGAGGTGAAATTGGCCAAGTTGCATTTAACCTGACTGACTCTCTTGCAAAGGTGAGCCTCTTAGAACTAATTTCAATAAATAGAATAGCGCCATAAATAGAGTAAGCTGCGCACTCATTACAAACACCATTAGCAAAACTTCTTTTCATGTTGAGGAACAAGCTTTTTTACATGAAAACAAGTTTTGCTAATGGTGTTTGTACTGAGTGCGCAGCTTACTCTATTTATTGCGTTAATTACAGTTCTATCTCCACGTAAGCTTTTTAAATAGAATAGCAATAAAGAATTAAATATAGGTACATGGTAAACACAGTCATCTGCAAACACAGAACAATTTCGAGTTAATGGACCCATTGCGCAATGACGTAAAAACACCCTTCACAGCCAAATATGGAATGCATGAGTAGTGCTTGTTAGTATGCTGGGATCAGGAGTGCACTGTTCAACACCCCAGACGACCCCCCCCCCCCCCCCCTCAGGTGGCTGTGAAGGGTGTTTATGGTACAAATTACGTCATTGCGCAATGGGTCTATTCCGAACGTTTTCTCTTGTCTATCTGAAGGAAATGATCACCACACTGATTGTCAAAAAAGAGCAAACAAGGGAAATGTTATTATGGTTGGCTCACCTTAATTCAATTAGGGTCCAGAAGAAAGACAATTTGATATCGGTTCGAATGGCATATCTTTCACTTGCAAACGATAAGCCAAACTTGCCAACTCGCGAATTGTATGATCATGTTGCCATAGTGACCAGCGCAGTGATGACGCAGGTTCTGCTTAGGTCCGTGAGAGAGAAGGTCGATCACTGCAGAATGCGGTAATTTTCATTATTGTGTTATTGTATTCACGAAGTGAAAGAAGTGCTGTGTTCAATGCTGCTAGTGCATTTTCGGCATTCTCCTGCATTTCCCTTGGCTGACTGTAGCCTAGGAAATGGTTCCTCAAGGAGAAGATGCTTGGTATTCGCCATCTCTCCCGAGAAATTTTCAGCAAACTTTCAAAAAACTACATTATTTGGTTCGCCAATCTCCACCACCTGTCGTCTCACCTGGCTTCAGAAGATGTTACGAGAGATAGGAGAATCGCCAGCAAGCATCACATCCATCTTCAGGAAGTGGAAAGAGCAAATGGCGTGGTCCTTGGTTGGGGTAAATGCTAAACGTCTGATTTGTTCCAACCAAGATGTTAGCGCTTTTTGTCACTGTTTCCGCTTGTCTGCTGCTGTCTCCGCACTCCAGCCTTCTCCTGTCAGTGTCACGTCCCAGCACACACCCGACAGGACTACTAATACTAAGAGTACGTGAAAACCAGAGTGTGCAGCTTGTGGCCTTTTCTGCTATGGGTGTCCGTCACGGCGGAATTCCGTGATTACATCATATTTGGCGCAGATTTGAGGCGGGAAATGACGAAGTGCGTACAACTGAGCTGCAGTTGTGCGGAAAGAGACTTGCTTGAATCCTGCTTGTACGCACATCACTAAAATGATGTCATCACGGAATTCCGCCGTGACAGCAACCCATCCGAGCTGCACACTCTGGTTTTTATGTACTCTTGCTAATACACAGCTCACGGCACTAATACCATTAAACAAAGCCCTTCTTACACTTCGTGAGTACAATAAACCAATTGAAAATGACCAAATTCTGCAGTGATCGACCTTCTCTCTCACAGAGCTAAGCAGAACATGCGTCATCACTGCGCTGGTCGCCATGGCAACATGAGCATACAATTGGCGATTTGGCAAGTTTGACTTATCATATGCAAGTGAGAGATATGCCATTCGAACCGATGTCAAGTTGTCATTCTTCAGGACCCTACATGAAAAATCGTTACACTTCCCCTTTAAGTGTCTGCAGGTTTATGATGATTTTTATCATGGTGTGTCCATGCACAGGATGCTATTAAAGCAGTTGAAAGTTTGGAAGCCGTTTGTAAATGAGAGTGCTCCGGCTCGGCAGAGTGCTCATTATTCATTCAAATATAGCTATTGTACACACAACACAGAGCACTACAGTTCACTTGTAGTTGTCTGATGATTGCCTATGGGCATGACACTTTTAGTTACAACGAATTATGCGTGGTGCTCTGTGCCGTGTGTGGGAAGCTGCTTGTACAAGCCTCTTTGGATTTGTCCATCTAAATAAAGCTTATGTTAGATTCCTGAGGTTGTCATGGTAACCAATATGTATGACCATTTCTCTCTCTTCTGTCTGCCTGTCCCTCCCTTCCTCCCTCCCTCTGAACATGCATCGATAGTTCATCACTCAGTCAAAGATAGAGCTGTTAAATGTCTTTCGGTGTGGGAAGCTTTCTGTGAATATGGTGCCGGTGAGGCGTGCTTTGCTGTGAATGTCGTACTGGGAAGCATCTCTCATTGTTGTGTCGTTTTATGAGCTGGTTCTTGGCAATCTGCCGTAGACCCACGTGTCCATATTCCATGAATGACACACGCTAACAATCAAGAAAACACGGACTTGTGACAGAATGCACACTGAATGATATTAAACTTTGTTGATGCTATGGAAGGACTACAGTCAACTTCGCTTATAACGACACTCGGCGGGGCATCAAAAAGGTGTCCCTATTCGCGAAGTGTCGTTATACCTGAAGTCTCATTATGTATAACAGGAGTATGGGACTTTGCTCTGGGCATGGAAATTCTGTCGTTATTCGCGAATTGTCGTTCAATCCGCAGTCGTTATTCGCGAATTGTCGTTCAATCCACAGTCGTTATTAGCGAATTGTCGTTCAATCCGCAGTCGTTATTAGCGAATTGTCGTTCAATCCGCAGTCGTTATTAGCGAATTGTCGTTCAATCCGCAGTCGTTATTAGCGAATTGTCGTTCAATCCGCAGTCGTTATTCGCGAATTGTCGTTCAATCCGCAGTCGTTATTAGCGAATTGTCGTTCAATCCGCAGTCGTTATTCGCGAATTGTCGTTCAATCCGCAGTCGTTATTCGCGAATTGTCGTTCAATCCGCAGTCGTTATTAGCGAATTGTCGTTCGATCCGCAGTCGTTATTCGCGAATTGTCGTTCAATCCGCAGTCGTTATTAGCGAATTGTCGTTCAATCCGCAGTCGTTATTAGCGAATTGTCGTTCAATCCGCAGTCGTTATTCGCGAATTGTCGTTCAATCCGCAGTCGTTATTAGCGAATTGTCGTTCAATCCGCAGTCGTTATTAGCGAATTGTCGTTCAATCCGCAGTCGTTATTCGCGAATTGTCGTTCAATCCGCAGTCGTTATTCGCGAATTGTCGTTCAATCCGCAGTCGTTATTCGCGAATTGTCGTTCAATCCGCAGTCGTTATTAGCGAATTGTCGTTCAATCCGCAGTCGTTATTCGCGAATTGTCGTTCAATCCGCAGTCGTTATTCGCGAATTGTCGTTCAATCCGCAGTCGTTATTAGCGAATTGTCGTTCAATCCGCAGTCGTTATTAGCGAATTGTCGTTCAATCCGCAGTCGTTATTAGCGAATTGTCGTTCAATCCGCACTCGTTATTCGCGAATTGTCGTTCAATCCGCAGTCGTTATTCGCGAATTGTCGTTCAATCCGCAGTCGTTATTCGCGAATTGTCGTTCAATCCGCAGTCGTTATTCGCGAATTGTCGTTCAATCCACAGTCGTTATTCGCGAATTGTCGTTCAATCCGCAGTCGTTATTCGCGAATTGTCGTTCAATCCGCAGTCGTTATTAGCGAATTGTCGTTCAATCCGCAGTCGTTATTAGCGAATTGTCGTTCAATCCGCAGTCGTTATTAGCGAATTGTCGTTCAATCCACAGTCGTTATTAGCGAATTGTCGTTCAATCCGCAGTCGTTATTAGCGAATTGTTGTTCAATCCGCAGTCGTTATTAGCGAATTGTCGTTCAATCCGCAGTCGTTATTCGCGAATTGTCGTTCAATCCACAGTCGTTATTCGCGAATTGTCGTTCAATCAAGAGTCCATAACCCAAGAGTATGCAACTGTGATTATGGGTGCATGCGTGGCGCACTGCCTTCATTAGGTAACTTGCCTTCATCACGCTCTGAAAGCATGCATTCAAACTCTCAATTTCTCGCACGAGCCCATCCGTTTTTGCTCGATTCGTTCCAGTACCTACACAATCTCTGAATTCTGGCGCGTGAACTCCAGTTCCGTACGAAAGTTCATTTCAAACTAGAGGGAAAGTGCGGTGTTTGATTTTCCGCAGTGCGCGGACTGCAGCTGAATGATGTAATGAAGGCAGCGCGCCGCGCGGTTGGGCCATAGAAAAGAGATCACAGTTGCATACTCTTGGGTTATGCACTCTTGGTTCAATCCGCAGTCGTTATTCGCGAATTGTCGTTCAATCCGCAGTCGTTATTAGCGAATTGTCGTTCAATCCGCAGTCGTTATTAGCGAATTGTCGTTCAATCCGCAGTCGTTATTAGCGAATTGTCGTTCAATCCACAGTCGTTATTAGCGAATTGTCGTTCAATCCGCAGTCGTTATTAGCGAATTGTCGTTCAATCCGCAGTCGTTATTCGCGAATTGTCGTTCAATCCGCAGTCGTTATTAGCGAATTGTCGTTCAATCCGCAGTCGTTATTAGCGAATTGTCGTTCAATCCGCAGTCGTTATTAGCCAAGTTGACTGTAACTGGGCCATGTGAGTGTGGTGCGATGCACTTTTAAAAGTGATCAGGGTTGCCATGGCAGCCATGACAGTCACAGAGACCTAGTAACAATGTGTTTGTTTTGTTCTGCTCTCTGTGTGCTACAAGATGTCAGACCCCAGGGATCGATCCTTTTTTGTACATTGGTGGGCAACAGGTGAAGTGGTGTGCAGCGAGATGAAACGGAATGGTGGAATGCGTAACCATAAGCTATCGGATGTCCCTGGAGCGCACGATATCATCTATGCAGTCATGCAATTGGACCTGCCTGACCCAGATGGAGTATCCGGGGTTACAATAATTATTGTGTCCTACAAAGGTATGGAAGTAACAGAAGACATTGATGAAGGTTGGTCAGCATGAAGCCAGTGCTGAGACCGGTGGTGCCTTCTGTTCCACCAGTCTTTTAATCTATACACAGTATAAATGTGATCAAGTGTGATTGTGTTAACAGAATGAATACTTGAAGTTGGAACTTGTGCGTACTAGACTCGGATGGAGAGCAAGAGATTATAATTGCTGCATTTGCCAGAGAACATTGCGCACTTTAATGCGCTATTTCAGGCCCGAATTCGCAGGTGCGCACTATGCTCCGAATGTGAGAATGCATGCACTTCGAAAAGTAGTGTAATGTATCAAACTGGTGCGAAGTTTTCTACTTCTGAGTCTCTGACCCTGAGTAAGCCATATCCATGCATTGGAGGTGTCTTCTGTCAGCTACACTGCACTGTAAATGCAAGATGGGTAAGAGACCTCATAGGTAGCATATACATTCATCTACAAGTGTAAGTATTTTATGTTTTCTTTGTGTACAGTTTCTGAACCCATGGTCAAGCCAGCCCGACTCCAACTGGAGATTGGAATACCGTTTCTACGCATGATTCTCATCGGTGAAGCCGGTGCAGGCAAGACCAGCCTGGCGCGTTCTCTTTGCCGCAAGAAAATCTTGCGCGGAAAGGACGACAACAGCACAGTCGGAGTGGATGAAAGCACGTTCATCATCGATGGCGATCAGCTGGAGCAGGAGGCCAGCAAAGACGGCGAGGAAATGCTCAGAAGGAGGATCGCGTCTGTGATCAAGGGTACCGCAACTGATCCAGAGGCCTTTCTGCACACTGCCGCTGCTTCTTCTTCTTCTGCCTCACCTGTTTCGGAATCCTCTCATTCTGCTAACTCTGCTGCAAGCAATACCAGATCAGACATTTCTTCTTCACTAGCAAGTGATGCCTCTGGATTGACGGACCCATTCTCTGACTCGGCAGCAAGCGAGAACGAGTTACCACAAAGTGTGATTAGTGATATCTCAAGCCGCGTGACATCCTCTTGGTTCATTGAGAATGCCAGCGCAGATATTGCCGAGGGATCGTTCCAAATCATCCGCATCTGGGACACGGCAGGCCAGGACTCCTATCGGCTGCTTCAGCACATCGGCTTTGGTGCTGACCGCACTGTGTATGCAATTGTCTTCAACGCAAGCCAGTCTGTGGAAGCAGAGACTCCTCAGAGCACTGTAAGTATTGATAGATGTTGAGAGACCGTTGGACAGTGGGCTGGTTTTGGTCTAGGCAGTCTAGTCCAGCACCTTGTGTGTGAATTGTGAAGTGACTGTGACCAGCCAACAGTACAATGGGCTTCGGTGTTAGCTAGACCTTTTAAAAGCCAAGAATGCTGTACTTTAGAAGATCGCAATAATTTTGACCTTCCCCATACTATAGCATACAGTGTTCTACTGGAAGAGATGCGACGTCAGAGTAGAATATCTTGAATTGAAGACAAGATACTCAGATTTTGCCAGTTCACTAGCTCTAAGGTACAGGCTCCAAATCAAGTTAATTTGGTGCCATCCCCCTCCCCCTCCCCCCCCCCCCCCCCTCCTCCCTCTCAACTGTTACGATTGCTATCATGTCATCCTTTGAAAGACAAGTTCGTATACATATCACTGTTTATAATATCACAGGGACTAATTTAACCGGTATCGCATCGCAGTTTGCGACGCAAAACACAGTGTCTGCGATTCGAAGTTCGTAGTGAGTCGCGGTAAACTGCGACACAACATGCATGTTAGTATGGCCCTGGACATAGACTTGTAGTGCACGCGTAGCGCATGCACATGTGTAGCTTTACAGTGTGTGTGGCTGGTTTGGCGCCACGAGATGGCGCGCCATGCACTGTGACTAGATTAGACTGTGTGTGTGTGGTTGTCCAGCCTGCACTGCAGGTAGATTTTACACCATACGCACGCGCGGGCCGCGGGACCATGGCCATATGTCACACTATCTCCGCACGCGCACCGCAGCACGTGCACTTGGAAACTAATTAACTACTTACTTGAAGTGCAGCCCAGGAAGCACGAGGCGAATGTCGACAAGTACTTCACCTGCTTTTGAGATTTAGACCACGTTGCTTCACTAGCAGTAGGCGTCTCGACCGTTCAGGACTTATCTTTGTAAATTTCTGCTAGCCTTATTGATGAAGCCTCTTCACTGCCGGCATGTCTGTGAAGCAAGGTACTGTGGACAAGTGGATTGCTGAATTATTTGATCCCAAAAAAGAATGGATTCGCGCAGAGTCGAGTGGTGGAGCTGTGACCAAGATATTTTGCAAGATGTGCAGGGAGAAGGCGTCCTCGCTTCGTGGTTTGAGGAATTACAGCACGGCGTTTGTTGACGGTATAAGTGGAAGTGCACTGAAGACTGCATTGTCGAGGGAAAAAAACTGCTATGCAAAATTGTTGCGTTGCTATGCAAACGTCGAGGTGTGTAGCAATTATTGCTATGCAATGTTTTGAAGTAAATTAGTCCCTGATATCAGTTGTATGAGTTGTCTGAGGATTGCCAGGACCTGGCATAAAACTATTGGTTACAACACCAGACGCATGGTGCTCTGTGTCTCGTGTGTTCCTGTGCTATGCAGGTTCGACACGAGGGCAAACATCGGCCTTGCACTGCAGCTGTGCCGAGACAGCCAAGCCTTACGTATATCCACGACTACCTGGCCACAATACACAACATGCCGAGTAGCAGCAACGTGCGGGTGTTCCTCGTTGGCACGCATATCGACCAGCGTCGCTGGTTCAGTGGAGCCATCCGGGATGCGGAACGTGATGTCATCATGAAAAGTCTTAAAGGGAAACCGTACTGCCACTTGCTGAAGTCTGACGACATCGTGTTTGTCAACAACACACGTTCTGGTAGCTTCCTCTTGCCAGAACACGCTGGAATCCGAAGCCTGCGCACTAAGCTTGTCGAGGAGAGTGTCAACCAAGAGGCTATCCCACTTGCACGTGGTCTGGAAACGCTCGCACTTCTCGAGCTCTCTAGAGATCCCCGTCTCTCCAGTCCCTGGATCTCGCTCGATGATCTGCTTCGTCTGGCCCGCTGCCTTGACATTGCGCACCGAGTGGACGAACTCAAACCTATGCTGGGCTTTCACCACAACCTTGGCACCGTTCTCTTCTTTCCCCAGTCCGTAGCACTGCGGGATAAAGTGATCATCAACGTACCATCCGTGATGAAGCTGGCTGGCTCGCTCATTCAACCTGGAATGAAGCGAGAAGATTTCGTGAAGGATCCACCATCACGCGAAGACATTGATCTCTACCAACAAGGCTACATCACGGTTGAACTGGCCCTGCGTTTATGGCAAGAGCACAGTCCCGAGTTCCACCGGCTGATGTTGAATGAGGAGCACCGCCACACCTTCTTGCAGCTAATGGAGACACTGTGCATCCTGTGTGACCTGGGTGAAATCACCACGGCCAAGAACGGAAAGAAGAAAGTCTTTCTCATGCCAGCTGCTACCGAAAATGAGTCTATCCGTGAGCTGGAAGGCGGCTCCACATCCGAGGCCATTCTTCTGGCTTGCGACGAGAACGACCACTTTCCACATGACATGTTCCTCACAATCGGCACGAAATGCATCACTCGCCACAACCAGCTCCTCGTCGAGAGCGGCACGAAAACCAACGCCTGGAGGAAGACTGCCCTGTCCAAGTTTTCCATGCGACTGCCGTGGAATGTCAGCGACGGAGAGTGGCTGCTAGTGGCCTACTGGAAGTGCGGCATCTCTCTCAGAATGGAGTCGGTCAACGTGCAGCGTGTCTTCGGCAGTGGTGAGGGTGAGGCAGCGTTACGTCAGGTGAAGCAATGGTTGTCTGACATGCAGGCAGTTACCAGTCAGAGACTTCTGATTGAGGTGAGTCACAGTGCCGTGCCATAATAATTATTATTTCAAACTACTCTTACTAGATAACTCCATGTTCTCCCTTGTGGAGCATGCTTTTCTTGTGCCGTCCACTAAATACGGTGAATGGCTGGTGAATGGCTGGCGAATGGCTGGTGAATGGCTGATGAATGGCTGGTGAATGGCTGGTGAATGGCTGGTGAATGACTGGTGAATGGCTGGTGAATGGCTGGTGAATGGCTGGTGAATGGCTGGTGAATGACTGGTGAATGGCTGGTGAACGGCTGGTGAATGGCTGGTGAATGGCTGGTGAATGGCTGGTGAATGGCTGGTGAATGGCTGGTGAATGGCTGGTGAACGGCTGGTGAATGGCTGGTGAATGGCTGGTGAATGGCTGGTGAACGGCTGGTGAACGGCTGGTGAACGGCTGGTGAACGGCTGGTGAATGGCTGGACGGTCTTCCTTACCACTTGCTCTTCTCTAGTATTGAACAATTTCATTCGATGATCATTTCTTGTCCCGCCATACATGTACAGTTGTTGTCCACCTGTTGTCATGGTAGACACCGACATTGCCCATCATCACACGTGTTGTGTTTATGATCCTTGTCTGTTGTTGTGCTTGTTATCCATGTCTGTTGTTGTGTTTATGATCCATGTCTGTTGTGTTTATGATCCATGTATGTTGTGTTTATGATCCTTGTCTGTTGTTGTGCTTGCTGTGCTGTGAAGGAGACGGTGGCATGCGGTTGTGGCAAGATGAGCGATAGTGTGCTGTGCACTACGCACGGTAGAGGGAAGTGCATCGAACGCGCTACCTGCTTTCACACAGTCGACGTGTTTGAGCCCGGAACGACTCCGATGTGTCCCGTCTTGAACAAGGAGGCAAGGATCCCCAATGGAGGACTGTCTTTCTGGAAGAGATGGACTCAGGTGAGAATGTATGGAAATGTACCAACAAGAGCATCTATACCACCCCCACCCCTATACGAGCATATTTTACCCCCACCCTTCGAGTATACATGTATTACCCCCCCCCCCTTCCCTCCAAGCGTATATACCCCTTCCAAGACCATATACCCCTTCCAAGACCATCATTATCAACCCCCCCCCCCCCCCCCCTCCAGAGTCTACGTGTATACTGCCAAGTATAGAGTACAGTCATGTATATACCCCCCCCCCCCCCCCCACACACACGCACCAGCAGTTCAGCGATTCTCTGTGAATGCCGCTGTCTGATGATCGCTGAATTGCATGAAACTTGAAGTTTCAGCTACACAGCTCTTTGCCACCGTCGTGTGAGTGTGTGTGTGTATGTGTATGTGTACGTGTGTGCGTGTGTGTCTGTGTGTGTGTGTGCATCTGTGCGTGTGTGTTTGTTTGTCTATGTGTGTGTGTGTGTGTGTGTGCGCGCGCGCGTGCGTGCGTGTATGTATGTGTGTGGGTGTGCATGCTTGCGTGCGTGTATGTGAGGGTGTGAGTGGGTGTGAGTGTGTGGTTGTGTGTGTCGGGGGGGGGGGGGGGGGAGGAGGGTTTCGTGCATATGCACTTGCACTCACTATCTTGCATGTGTGTGTGTGCTGATCCACTGTTGACAGGACCCTTCAAACCTTGTCCTGCGCCGAGAACCGACTCCATCAGGCTCAGGTAAGGGAAATTCCCTAAACGCGGGTAAAACGGTTTTGAACCGGTTACAAATCCGTTTGCTATGAACCGCTTGCAGATAAATCTGTTCTCTTTTGTCATTGAGCTGATCTCATTGTCTGATTTCATTGTGTATCTGTGCAGCGTGTGTGGGCACTGGTGGTGCAGCCATCAGTTTACTTTACATGTCACCGGAGGAATACGTCTCGGCAAAGTACTGCAACCTGAACAACGTGTATGTAATATCTTAAGTGTCCTAGGAACATGTAACTATCAAGAATGTACAACAGCCTGTACAATCTCTATCCAATGCTGGGCCTAGGGGACTGTGGGGCTTCACATCACATGGCATGTTTCGATAAGTTACGCTGGCAAACAATGCAAAGTGATGTCCAGAGAGTTGAACCCAAAGAAGGGGGTGGATTCGACCCTGTAGCTGTCATGCACAGGGTGCAAACAATGTGTACGGGTTTGTCATTATGATGTGAAGTTATGGTGCGTGTACACGAACATTCATGTACGGATGTGTGTGTGTGTGTGTGTGTGTGTGTGTGTGTGTGTGTGTGTGTGTGTGTGTATGCATGTGCTCATATTGTTGTTTTCTCTCAGTGATAAGCTGGTGACACTTACCGATTTGACTGATCTCGGAAACAAGATGGCGGAGTACTTGACTCTTGCGGAACGAAGTAAGTGTTCGCACTTCTGTTGTTTAGTTTTCATCTTGTCATAGGTTTTCACATTCAGGTATATATCTTGAGGTGAGAGGGACGAGACCGGTGGAGGACGCGAAAGAAGAACTTCTTTTCTTCTTTTTTAGAAGGGGTTACATTTGAACCCGTAATCCTGTGTTTCTATTTTCTTTATCCTATCTCTATTCTCTTATTCTGGTTCTGGATCACGGAGAAACTGTTTTCTTGTTCTGGTTCTGGATTACAGAGAAACTGGCCAAGCAGCTGGTAATGGCAGCCGGTGAGTTTGTCAACAACTTCGAGAGCATCATGATCTCTTACATCAAGGAGAACCAACGCGGCCTAGCGGATACCGACAATGTGGCCGGTCAGCTCTTCTACATCGTCCACAAGAAGGAGATCAGCTGCAAGGAGCTTCTGTGCATCTTGGCAGCGTTCACTCGGGAGGAAGTCGTCGAGAGAGTAGCACAGATTATTGAGTGAGTGTAACGCATGCGGACACCAGTGTTGCATTTGACCAATGGAAGGGTTAAGGTAGGGGGTAGGTGGTAGGGCACAGAATGCATGATGACCCCAGAGGAAGCAGCACCAGATGGAATGGGAGGGGCAGGGGCAGGCTTGTGGAGGGGGAGGGGGCAGGTGAGGGGAGCCTTGGGAGAAGGGGGCAGGGTGCTGAGTGCATGATGACGCAGAGGAGCCAGTACCAGCTGGAATATTGGGTACATGTGCTTGTACAGGTACATGATATGAATATGTCCATGCAGCAATGTACATGTACTTGTGAACATGATTGTGAACGCAGCGATACTGCCCGAAGTTCGCTAATGCTGAAGACAGAACTTGGCAGGATCTGCCGCTCGGTATATTTATCTGTATGAGATAGCACGGAGAAACTGGTCTAAGATGACCGCTCAAGAGACCTTCAAAATGTGGTCTCTGTTGCCAGCTGGTCGCCTCATCAAGGGTCGTTTGACTGGAAATAGCATCCCTGGGCCGATCCTGGTTGCAGCAGTCTTCTACTGTAGCGTACATGGAAATCCAGTCAATTGAACGGGGCCGGCGCCCTCAGCGCGTACAGAACGCTGCGTGCCATGCACATGTTGATCCTATGCGACCAGCGCGCTGCAGCGCATAAATGCATGTGTTTACCGCTTATCGACGGCTGCATGGCCAGCGGCGTGGGGCCGCTAGACGTGCGACCGGATTTCCATGTCCACCACAGTAGGATGGTGGTTGCCTTATCCGAGTGGCTGCCTTGACAGGTTTTAATGTACCTGCTCACCATGGGTATTCTTCTGTCTGTTTATGTTTGTTTTTGCACTCCCTCTTAGGCGTGCACGGTTCATTGACGGTTAAGCTCACGATCCGGTCGTCTCGAGCCGGCAAGGTGTCCGACTAAACCTGATGCTCCGCGTAGGTTTGCCGTTTGCTGTCCGTGCCGGCCAACGCCTATCTCTGTCCAGTGCCTTGCGCAGCGGAGTGCTTGCTCAAAGTAGTGTGCAGGCTGCACTTTGGACATGGACAATAGTCACACGAATCATGACTTGCATCAGGTTTGTCATTCATTTCTTTGTTCTGCATGTTCAGATTTGGTTCGTAATGGATGCCAAGTGGATTGAATGATCGTTTTCTAGGAATTTTTTATCTTTCCCGCCACTTATTGAATTATTGGTAAAATGTTCTCTTGAAATTCTTTGCCTAAACTACACATAATTATTATGCAGCGTAGCACTTTTTCCACACCCGTTTTGCGTATTTGTTTGATTTATCATGTCCCCAAGTTTTCCTTTAGATTTAGCAATGCTTTAGAAGTAGCAATGTATCACAAATACATACATTGACACACACACACACACACACACACACACACACACACACACACACACACACACACACACACATACATACATACGCACGCACGCACGCACATGCACGCACACACGCACACACACACATACACACACACACACATGCCGATGTGCACACATGCCGATGTGCACACATGCATACATGACTGTACATGCAAATACGTCCGGCAGAACGCACAGACACCTCGTCTGTGCATGCATATCAAGGAGAGATTTTGATTTGATCAAACCGCTGTCCATGCACTGCTTCGCTAGTGTCGCTGCGTCTCCCACAACCTATGTGAATATTCTTGAACTGGAGTCCGACCTTGTTCGACTCTTGATATTTTTCCTTTATTTGGAGTGTGCCCCCCCCCCCCCCCCTACTTCCTCACCCGGAAGTTGCGATTCAGCTTCTGCTTCCGGCGCTCGTAGTTTGCCGTTTTTCAAGTTTTTCGCCTGCTCCGGCATTTTGCAGTTTTTTTTGATTATGTGCAATCACTATAGCATTCATTGTATTCAAGCCGGACCCCGGCACTGCACAACCACAGCAGTCGGCCGGTCTGACTCGATTTTCAAAAGACTAAGTACACGCTCCTCTCAGTTAGGGCTGTCATGTGACATGCCCCAGGAAGTAAAGATTTGACTAGAATCGATTCATTGTGTTCTTGTTGTGTTGTGGCCTTCACTGCTATGGAGGGTATGCGGTTACATCATCAGTCGAGATGCTGTGGCAAGGTCGCGGCACACACACGGCGGTGTTGTGCTAGAGACTCACGAGGCTGTATGAATACAATGTAGCCGTGACTGACTCGCGCTCTGCACATAGTGCCCATAGGCAATTCCGCTGACTCACCACCATGACATCATTGGCAAAACCATGTCATTGTAACTCGTATACTCTCAGCACTCAAAGCACATACTTGTAGTTACGTAAGTAGTTATCATTCGTTCATTGTCTCACAAGGAGAAAAAGAAGACAAGGCAGTGCGAGTATGCGCACTGCTATCCATGCATTCCTACGGTGTACTATTTATGTGTATACAAATTACGTGTCATAAAGTAGCCATGCTACACTATCCTCCTCCTACCGAAAATTCACGCCCTCGTGAATAGAGAAAGAAAACAGAAACATAAAAAAATAAAAACTCAGGACATAGCAAAATCAGTAAACCGAGCAGGCAGTCCAGGATTGCGAGCGAGATGGGCTCTGACGACAGCGGACAACAAGTAGGGTCATGGTCGAGGGCTTGCAGAGTAAGCACCGTGAGGCATCAGACGCGAACCGAATGTTCCTTCTGATCCAACTGCATTAGCCGAGAACAAGCGCATGGTACGACTAGTGCCAGAAACCTTCGGGAGGGCGAACAAATATTCCACTCACGGCATTGTACCTGGGCAAACTGACCACTGAGAGGTCGACATTCACAGCCTTGGCAGCAGCCAACTCAGTTGCGGAGGGACCAGCAAGTACAGGTGTGGTGACATCCACAGAAGCCGTTGTGGCAGAGGAACTAGCTTGCTCTGGCTGATTTGTGGGAGTCTCGAGATGGGAGGGTTGCACCTCCGGCAACAAGGAACACGACAGACCATCTGCATTCAAGTGCTGCCGACCCGGTCGGTGAACAGTAGTGAAGGTGTACTCAGCGAGTTGCTCCACCCATCGAGCTTTTCGACCGCGTGGTTCCTTCACGGACATCAGTGCGGTGAGGGCAGTGTTATCTGTGCGGGCAATGAAATTCCGACCAAGCAAATAGTGCCGGAACTGATTCGCGAAATGGAAAAGGGCAAGCGTTTCCCGGTCTGACGCATCATTATTCCTCTCTGCCTTCGCCAATACCCGGCTGCCGAACGCAATGGGGCGTTCCTCGCCATCTTGCATTTGACTGAGGACAGCTCCAATGGCCACCTTGCTTGCGTTAGTGTCCAAAATAAAGCCGCCAGACGAAACAGAAAAGTCGGGATACGCCAACACGGAGGCTGTGGTCAGTGACCGCTGCATAGACGTCAACGCCGCATCACTACTCTTAGTCCATGTAAAGCTGGCACCCTTGCCTGCTAATACATTCAGTGGAGCGGAGCGTTGAGCAAAACCACGGATGAAGCTGCGGTAAAACCCGGCGTACTCCAGAAACACCTGTACACCTCGTACAGACTGGGGTACGGCCCACTTCACAATAGCCTCAACCCTGGTGGGATCCGGAGCCAAACCTTCAGCCGAAACTTCATGGCCAAGGAAGAGCACCTTCCGTTGGAAAAATAAACATTTTTCCAAGTTTACCTTTAGTCCAGCAGCCCGAACCCGGCCAAATACAGACTGCAGGATCTGGAGCTGTCCAGTGAAGGTAGAGCTGGCATTCAATACACTGTTGAAAAACACTTGACAGATTGGTTGGTTAGGCACACTACATAAACCATGAAGCACCGCTTCCATTACACGGTGGAACGTCGCTGGACCATTTCTACAGCCAGACATAACCAAGAAATCACACAAACCCAACGGTGTCGTAACGGCAGTCTTTGCCGTATCGTCCTCGTGCTTAGGAACCTGCCAATATCCTGACGCTAAATCCAGGCAAGTAAACCATGAACAGCCAGAGAGTGAGTCCAATATGTCATCAACACGTGGGATAGGATACGCATCTGGCTCCGCCATGCTGTTCAACTTGCGGTAGTCGATACATAACCGGAGAGATCCGTCCTTCATGGGAACGAGAACTATGGGCGACGCCCAGGGTCTAATGGACTCGGTGAGTATACCACGGGACAACAGATCATCCAGCAAAGCTTGCAAAGCGCGCGTAGGCTGCTTATCTGGCTGTATATCACCAGTACTACTACTATGTGGCAAAACATCACAAGGACCAAAATCACCCTCCTGCAAGAGAAACAAGTCATGATTCTAACGGAGAAGCTCGGTAAGTCTGTTCTTTTCAGGTACTGCCAGATGATTCCGAGACTCAACATACGCACGGATTATCTCGGCACGTTCAGGGGATAGCACAAACGGTTGCATATCCGTAACAGATGAATCAGCAGGATCATCATCCTCTCCACTGATCAAGTTATCGGGTACAGGAGATAATTCTGCAATATCAACATCTGTAGCAATTTGTACTGGGTAGTCAGAGTGATTCTCCAACACAACTACCGCACCGGACCTGCCAGGTCCAACCGTAACCACACTGGGGGTCACAGACACATCTGGAAACTTGAACAAGAATGAGTCCAGTGGAACAGCAACACAATCCACAGTCACAGATGCCTCTTGCACCGACTTGCATGGGACCAGCACGACATGGCCGGCAGGCAGAGTTAATTTACTACAAACAGTGACACGGGAATAGTACGTGCCCGGGTCTTCCTCAGAATTACTATCATTACTCCAAGAGTCAGATAGCGGTTCAGCGTCCGCCGCAACAACCGGACGGGGCTCTGATGGACCAACACTAGTAGCTTTCACGCCTAGCAGGACTGACAGATCATTAAAAGTTAGTGTGCCTTGAGCAATGTTCAATAATGCTCCATGGTCAAACAAGAAATCAGATCCCAATATCATATCACGGCGGATATCAGGAGACACTACAAATGTATGCAAGAATGAACGCTCTCCAATGCAGCATACAATATCCACAGCACCCAGAACCAGGAGTCCCTCACCATTAGCCGCACACAAACGGGAAGCAGCTTGCAAGGGCACATCACCATACGTGGACAAAAATGTTTGCTCATGCAACATAGAAACACAGGAACCAGAGTCAATTAACGCCGTTACACACTTGCCTTGAACATGGAGATCTAGCGTAGGGACTACAGACGATACAGCCTCGATACGTACTGCATCTGCTGGCTCCTCGTGAACGACTGGGAGTTGTCCCACACCACCAGTCGTACTCAGTTTCCCGAGCGCCAAGGGTTGTGTGGGCAATCTAGAGCAAAATGGCCAGGTTGTCCACAACCACAACAAATCGGTGGTTCCACCTGACCACCACGACCATACGAATGTCCACGACCACTGCTACTACTATGAGGGTGATCAAATTCGAAACTTGCTCCTGCAGGAACCTGTGTTCGTGGAGCAACAATTTCCAAACAGCTGAGTCTCTTTTCGAGATCTGTCAACCTGCGATCAAGTTTCTCGAGCGCCTGAGCTAGTTGATCACGCACTCCGGTGTCATTAGACTGGTGCAACTCTGATGCACTGGCATGTTCGTCAGACAGTATTTTGAACGGACGAGGTCGAGGGTACCTGGTCTTCTTTCTGCCTTTGGATTTGCCCATCTCGATATCTCACTATCAAAAATGGCCCAAGCTACAAACATTAAAAAAATTGTAGTTCAAAAAAACTTTTGAAAAATGTTACAAAAAAATTGACCTACACAAAACATTCTGGTTACGTCACACGGACGTTCACGTGCACATACACAGGACATGACGTCAACAGTGTACTTGCTTAGTATGCCACGCAGTCTCACGTGCGCAAAATATTTTTGTGAAAATGTAGCCATTGCTACACGCAAAATATTTTTGTGAAAATGTAGCCCTTTCTACCATGTTCTACATACACCAAACAAAACTGTTACTTATGCACAGCGAACGATCAGTCAAGAAGTAAGTAAAGAATGGAAAACGAGACGAAGGATAGAATGATCAATACTAATAAATTAGAACTTAGTCTGTGGGCTGGTCTCCCGAGTAGCTGGAACTGGTCTCAGACTCTCTGGAACTTGTCGACTCTGCAACTTGTCTCTCCTGCGGAGGCGTCTTCCCAGCCGAGGACAAAACCGACGACTATTTTTCCGCTGCCACCATTGTAACTCGTATCGTGACTCTCAGCACTCAAAGCACATACTTGTAGTTACGTAAGTAGTTATCATTCGTTCATTGTCTCACAAGGAGAAAAAGAAGACAAGGCAGTGCGAGTATGCGCACTGCTATCCATGCATTCCTACGGTGTACTATTTATGTGTATACAAATTACGTGTCATAAAGTAGCCATGCTACAACATCATTCGCATAACCTCAAAAGCAGTTAGCCTGTGCGGTGTGCAACAACAGTCAACTTTGCGTATAACCACACTCGGCGGGGCATCAGAAAAGTGTCCTTATTAATTTTGTGAAGTGTTGTTATACCCGAAGTCTTTTGAAAATCGAGTCAGACCGACCGACTGCTGTGGTTGTGCAGTGCCGGGGTCCGGCTTGAATACAATGAATGCTATAATAATTGCACATAATAAAAAATACTGCAAAATGCCGGAGCAGGCGAAAAACTTGAAAAAACGGCAAAATACGAGCGCAGGAAGCAGAAGTCGTATTGCAACTTCTGGGTGAGGAAGTAGGGGGGGGGGCACACTCCAAATAAAGGAAAAATGTCAAGAGTGGAACAAGCCCGGACTCCAGTTCAAGAATACTCACATTGCTTGTGGGAGACGCAGCGACACTGGCGAAGCAGTGCATGGACAGCGGTTTGATGAAAACCTGTCCTTGATATGCATGCACAGACGAGGCGTCTGTGCGTCTTGCCGGAAGTATTTGCATGTACGTGTATGCATGTGTGTGTCAGCGCAAGTGTGCACATCCGCGCACGTGTGTGCGTGTGTGTGTGTTTGTCAATGTATGTAGTTGTGATACGTTGCTACTTCTAAAGCACTGCTAAATCTAAAGGAAAACTTGGGGAAATGATAAATCAAACAAATAATTATGCAAAACTGGTGTGGGAAACCCACTAAAGTTGTATGAAGGAAATAAAAAGTGCTACGCTGCATAACAATTATGTGTAGTTTATGCAAAGAATTTTCAAGAGAATAATTTTTAATTTCAAAAAGCGGCGGGAGACGGTGCAAAAAAAGATGAAAAATACCTAGAAAAACGATCATTCAATTCACTTGGCATCCATTATCAACCAAATCAGAACATGCAGAACAAAGAAATGAATGACAAACCTGATGCAGGGCATGATTCCGTGTGACTATTGTCGATGTCCAAAGTGCAGCCTGCACACTACTTTGAGCAAGCACAGATAGGCATTGGCCACCACGGCCACACACGGCAAACCTTCGCGGAACATCAGGTTTTGCCGGACGCCTTGCCGGCTCGGGACGACCGGATCGTGAGCTCAACCGTCAATGAACAGTGCACGCCTAAGAGGGAGTGCAAAAACAAACATAAACAGACAGAAAAACACCCATGGTGAGTAGGTACATTAAAACCTGTCAAGGCGGCCACTCGGATAAGGCAACCACCATCCCAGAAGACCGCTGCAACCAGGATCGACCCAGGGATGCTATTTCCAGTCAAATGACCCTTGATGAGGCGACCAGCTGGCAACAGAGACCACATTTTGAAGGCCTCTTGAGCGGTCATCTTAGACCGATTTCACTGTGCTATCTCATACCGATCAAGATACCAAGCGGCAGATCCTGCCAAGTTCTGCCTTTATCATTATCGAACTTCCGGCAGTATCGCTGCATTCCCAATCATGTTCACAAGTACATGTACATTGCTGCATGGACATATTCATATCATGTACCTGTACAAGCACATGTACACTGCTGTATGGGCATATTCATATCATGTACCTGTACAAGCACATGTACACTGCTGTATGGGTATATTCATATCATGTACCTGTACAAGCACATGTACACTGCTGTATGGGCATATTCACATGTGCTAGTAAACATTGTACTACACAGTATTGCATGTATTGTAGCACCCTGCACTGTCTGTGTGTTTCCATATGCAGTTTGCAGTTCCCTTCGACTGTACTGTACACATTCACACTGTATGCATTCACCCCCCCCCCCCCCCAACACTGTTTGCAGACATCATGATTAGTGTTGTGCACGGGTAGTCGGGTACCCGTGAGGACCTCGGGTAGACGGGTACAGAATAATGCCCAAAAACCCGATGTCGCAGATGACATGAAGTGGAGTAAAAAAGAAAAAAATATCGTGTCCGTTAACGAAGGGAACTCACGACGGCCGCCAACACCGGGTAAACTCTAACGGCAGATGCAGCTCCTAACGGTGGGGGTGAGTGGATAAGTCGCACAACCATTGGTACAAGTGCCGAGAAACCCCATTAGGCATTAATAGAGAGGTTATGGAGTACGATTTTTCGTGCCAAAATCTGTAGAGGCGCTACGGATTTTTTATACGTCGTATTCCAGCAGTGAAATGTTCCGGAGTACGGAACTTATGTGTTTGCCGTCATTGCCTAGGTTACGGTCGCAAACACGTCACATTCCCACGCTATGCTTTTATATTTTGAAAATTTGTACCGAAATCAAAACTTCCCGCGGAAAATCGATGTTTCTCGTACCAAATTTGTACGCAAAAATCTTTCTGCACCCTATGACGCAAAATCTCCATACGAAACATGGTTCGTATGAAAGCCAGTCCACACGGCCGGGTACGGATTCTCCGTGCCGAAAAATCATATGGAGCACGCCTCTAAAATCCGTAGAGCCCATACGGATTTTGGCAAGGAAAATCTTACCCCGGAACCTCTCTAATAGCCGCATCCATGTACCCCTTGTGCCTGGCCACAAGTTCCCAGTTGACTCTGGGTAGCAGCATGGCTGGAAAATCTGCTCCCAGGCAAAACTTGAACCAGGTACCCCTCGTATCTCAATCATGGTCTTTGATCAACCCACTGTGCCTGCCATCAAGTACCGTGCACGTGTACAAATTCATGTGCTACTCCGCATGTGTACCCAGTATGTAAGGGAAGGGGTGCATTGTGGTGTTACCATGGAAACATTACCCGATCGGGTACCCGTGCTACCCGTGGAAAGCTATCCGAACCCGATACCCGGAGAAAATGCCACCCGACTCAGCCCTATTTATTGTGGAGCTTTCCGAAGCTCTGATGGGCCATTCACACTACACCCAAAACGTGGCGTACGTGACGTTTTCGTCTGAATAGCCATGACAACATGGAACGTGGCGGGGAAAAACCGGAAACTAGAACACCTGATACGAAAACCGTAGACGACATATCCAGACTAGGACCCCTGAACCGAGATTCGTTCTGCTGTTCCCGGCAGTTTGTATAAAAAAAAAAGCTGTACGCACAGCTGAAGGAAAAGCGTGTATGTGCCTGTGTGAATGTACATGTGCTTGCATGAAAACGACGTTTGACAGTACGTGGAATTCCAAAACGTGACACGTATTGTAATGTAGTATGAACAGCCTAAACGGGATTACCGATTGTTTCATAAAATGAAACATTTCGCTCATATTTTGCTTCTGTTCGCTTGTGCATGGGTGTGTGTGTGACCATGCACGTGCATGTATGTAAGCGTAAATATGCTGTACTTGTGTTCATGTGTGAGGGCAATGTCAGTCGATAACCAGTCGATAGTCAGTCGATAGGATTGAATCTAATTGATAAGTAAATTGGGTCAGTCGTTTCACCCCTAGTTTCGGTATTTTCCACCAAAGACTTTCGGCAGGGAAAGCCATCTCCAGGACAATATTGATTTCAAGTTTCGGAAAACTGGAGCATCTGGGCACTCTCCACATGCATTGAAAAATTAATTCCAAAACGAGACTTCTCAACCCCAACTACCCACCACCGAACGAAAACTTTTCGTTTTGAAAAACAAAACGGCTGGTAACCTTGGATGTCGGCCCCTGAGTTATGAGTTAGTTGTTTTTTGCAGTGAGCCATGCATCCAAGGGGGTTTGTCAACTGATAACAGCTCTATTTAGTCGCTATTCACAATCCGCGTATTCGCTGCATTAAAAATTCTTTTATTGTGATAAAAAAGGGTTTACTCCCCACACTGCAGCTCGCTATTCCGCCGACTTGACTTGACACTTGACTGGCTCACGACTGCCATCCATTATTGTGATGTTGAAAATCATTGACCTTTTTGGGCCAGTTACCGACAGGTTCGCCAGGTCCTGACGATGGGTGACTGGCCTGAAACGTCAATAATTTTTAACATCACCATAAAAGCATGTTTAATGCAGCGCATGTGCAGACTAGCAACTGAATAGAGCAGTTGTCAGTTGACAAACCCCCAAGGTTTCTTTCATAGTGCAGTTGCGTGATGTCCACAACATTCTCAGTGATCACTGCATGTAACTTATTACAGAAACACTACACTGGTACTGCACGCAGGATGCTAATCTGTGTACTTGAAGCCAAAGTAGGTATAGTGCATTAGATCTAGCTTCACCACATGTGCCCTCTGGCCTTGTGCATTCACACTACGCACACCCGTCACACCATCAGCCCTTTTATCAGGTACAGTACAGCTTGACCACATCCGGTCGTCGGCATGGTACTATTCATTATGCACCAGTGCGTTCAGTGCTGCTCAATCAAGTTCGATTGCGTGAGTCGAGTTTGCGTCCAGCACCAGTTCACATTCCAGTGTTTGCAGGCCTGGGGCTGCGCAGCACCAGGCACATACTTGCGTCACACGATCGGATTTCAAACAGCAGCAGTGCAGTAATGCCAGATAGAAACCTAACAGTCGCAATAACACCATGCTACAGAAATTATCACATTTTTAGCGGACATGGTTGCCTGTGCTACCCATGCTACAGTCACCTCCAGCCGTTTATTCATATTGCTGGCTACTCTGCGGTCATTCTGCATTCAGCACCCTGCCCCCTCTCACCATTCTAGCCGGTACTGGCTCTTCTGGGGTCATCATGCATTCAGCACCCTGTACCCCCCCCCCCCCCCCATTCCAGCCGCTATTGGCTCCTCCGTGGTATCATGCATTTAGCACCCTGCCCCCCCCCCCCCATTCCAGCTGCCGGTACTGGCTTCACCGTGACATCATGCATTCAGCTCCCTGCCCACCTTCCCCTCCCCCATGCCCCTCCACCCTGCCCCTCCCACCATTCCAGCTGGTACCGGCTCCTCTGTGTCATCATGCACTCAGCACCCTGCTCCCTTCCCCAGGGCTCCCCTCACCTGCCCCCTCCCCCTTCCCAAGCCTGCCCCTGCCCCCCTGCCCCCCCCCCCTGCCCCTCCCATTCCATCTGGTGCTGCTTCCTCTGGGGTCATCATGCAGTCTGTGCCCTACCACCTACCCCCCTACCCTAACCCTTCCACTGGTCAAATGCTTCGCCGGTGTCCTATGTGTCACACTCACTCAATAATCTGTGCTACTCTCGCGACGACTTCCTCCTGAGTGAACGCTGCCAAAAATGCACAGAAGCTCCTTGCAGCTGATCTCCTTCTTGTGGACGATGTAGAAGAGCTGACCGGCCACATTGTCGGTATCCGCTAGGCCGTGTCGGTTCTCCTTGATGTAAGTGGTCATGATGCTCTCAAAGTTGTGGACAAACTCACCGGCTGCCATTACCAGCTGCTTGGCCAGTTTCCCTGTAATCCAGAACCAGAACAAGAAAACATTTTCTCTGTAATCCAGAACCAGAATATGAGAATAGAGATAGGATAAAGAACATAGATCCACAGGATCCACAGGATTCCGGGTAAGACCTTCCAACAAAGAAGACAAACAATTTTTTTGTGGTGTCCTCCACCAGTCTTGTCACTCTCACCTCACGATAATATACCTTAATGTGAAAGCCTATGACAAGATGAAAACTAAACAATACAAGTGCGAACACTTACTTCGTTCCGCAACAGTCAAGTACTCCGCCATCTTGTTTCCGAGATCAGTCAAATCGGTAAGTGTCACCAGCTTATCACTGAGAAAAAACAACAATGTGAGCACATGCACGCATACATGCATACACGCACACCTCAGACCTCAGACTTGCCCATCGCGGACATACACACACACACACACACACACACATACACACATATGCATGCATGCACACACACACATACACATACACACAACCCCACAAACGAACACATGCACACGTACACATCACAGAGACATCGGAGTAGTTTCCAACAGTATATTAAAGAGAGAGAGAGAGAGAGAGAGAGAGAGAGAGAGAGAGAGAGAGAGAGAGAGAGAGAGAGAGAGAGAGAGAGAGAGCGAGAGAGAGAGAGAGAGAGAGAGAGAGAGAGAGAGAGAGAGAGAGAGAGAGAGAGAGAGAGAGAGAGAGAGAGAGAAGGGTCGACGTCCAAGAGCTCCACGATCCAACAAATACCACGACAACATTCATTATTGTGTCCCAAGTACCACGTACAATAGGTTCGATGGACTTCTCGCGTGCGTTAAATGGCAGTCGTGCGTCAGTCCCGTCAGCAAAACACTTTCAAATGCATAACATAGAGTTAGGGGAGGGGGGGGAGGGGGAATAAAATGTCAGCTGACATTACTTTTCTCTTTCCACTTCCTACTTCTTCGGGGAAGTTCATAAAAGACGATGACACATCTGTTGTTCTCATCACGCGCTTGCAGACACACAAAAAAAAACATCTTCCCAGTTTGAGGACACTTACAGATAATCACTGAATGTCCATAACAAGCAGGTGAACATAGCCAGGCAAAAGCAGCACTTCTTACACCAATACACTACACCATCCAGAGAGCACATAACCAGCAAGGGTGTGCAACTCCAATCTGTCGGGTCTGCGACGGCAAATCGTCACTTCACGTCACAAACCCATATACAGGAATTCAATCTGCGGACAGAACTGTTTCGTCCTTTGTGGACTCATCCGCGCAGCACAGAGGAAATGAGGCCGAACCTGATAGCAATGAAAAATTAATTTTTCCAAAGCCAGATTTAAACCAGGCCCGACCATACCTGCCAGAGTGCTCAAACTGACAAGGTAGTGAACGTCATTTAATATATTTTCATGATAACTCCTAATGGTGTGCACGGGTAGTCGGGTACCCGTGCTACCCGTGAGGACCTCGGGTAGTCGGGTACCGAATAGTACCTGAAAACCCGAGGTCGCAGATGACATCATGTACAGTGCACGTGTACAAATAAATCATGCATGTCTACCCAATGCGCAATCGAAGGGGCCGGTGTGCATTGTGGTCTTACCATGGAAACATTACCCGATCGGGTACCCGTGCTACCCGTGGAAAACTACCCGGACTCGATACCCGAAGAAAATGCTACCCGACTCAGCCCTAATAACTACAGCATGGACCATATCCCTACGTCGGGTGCAGCTTTCTGGCGATCACTTTGCACTGTTCACCAGTGTAACCTAGGGAACCATGCCACGTGATGCAAAGTTCTGCAATCCCAGCATTGGATAAAGGTTGTACGGGCATTGGCACATTCTTGATGGCTATGGGTTCTTTTAGATATTTTTTAAATACTTACGCGTTGGTCAGGTTGCAGTACTTGGCCGAGACGTATTCCTCCGGTGACATGCAAAGTAAACTGATGGCTGCACCGCCAGTGCCCACACACGCTGCACAGATACACAATGAAATCAGACAATGAAATCAGCTCAGTGACAAAAGAGAAGAGATTTATTTGCAAGCGGTTCATTGTACACGGATATACATGTATAACCGGTTCAAAACCGTTCTACCCGCGTTTAGGGAATTTCCCTTACCTGAGCCTGATGGAGTTGGTTCTCGGCGCAGGGCAAGGTTTGAAGGGTCCTGTCAACAGTGGATCAGCACACAGATACGTGCAGGATAGTGAGTGGAAGTGCACACGAAGCAATCCCCCTCTCACCCCCCCCCCCTCCCCACACACACACACTCACACACGTGCAAGCACGCGCATGCACGCAAACAAACACACATACGCACGCACACAAGCACACACACACACACGTACACACACTAGGGGTGAAACGAATATACCGAACATTCGAATATTCGTTCGTTAGGCCACAGCGAACGAACATTCGTAGTTCTCACGAACATTCGAACTTTGAGAATGTGCGTACGGTACGATAAACCCGTAAAAACATCGCGATCAGTCACGATCGTTTCACACACGTACACCGCCTGCAGAATATGTGTAGCTGCGTGCTTGTGACCAGCGCTGCACCAGGTGGTAAACGACCCGCGCGCGTGGTTCACGAACTGAACCGGCACTTGGCCGGAGTCGAGGCGACGACATATAGACGAACATCGGAACAAAGCATGAGTACTCGTAGATCTACATGTACTTACATATTTTGGCTGCTCGCTCTTCCTTTGACCACTTCGTAGTTTTGTTTCGAGTTCGCACTGTTCCCATGTCAGAAACTGTTTTCGGTCGTGCTCCCCATTCTGTTGTTTGGGATCATTTTACCAAATCCGAGGATGAGAAGTCAGCTACCTGCAGGATTTCCCCGTAGCGCAAAACGGCGAGCAACCTCTATGCGCACCTGAAAACACAACTACGATAACTTTCAGCATTCTTCTGTCGTCTCTGGGAGTGCAGTTATTGCTGCGGCATCAACACTGAACAGGAAGCAAGTTGATGACAAACGTTGCGGTGACGCAACGTTCTGGTCCTCAGCAGTAGCAGTATGGCGTTGCTCAGTTGGAGGCCATTGTGCCTCAACTTTTGAAAGCATCATAAAAGTCGTACTGTAAAGTTGGAAACTTTCGCAAGTGATTAAATTTCGCTACTTTCGCGGCCATTGCGCATTCTGGAGAAGAAAAATCGCCACAAACTGCTCAGTACGTGCATTGCAGACAGCACAACTACAAGATTCAAAAAAGAGGTAAAAATCGAGAAAGAAATTCTCATCACAAACCAGCCGCATTCATGAAAACGCAAAATTCGTGCGCCACAGAGGTTTATTGCTACACTGTATTCAAAAATTCCACTATTTTCTTGCCTATGCCGGTTCGTGCGCGAGCACGCGCGTGCGACGAGAACGTTAGAGAATGCTCGTTCGTTCGTTCGTTAACATCAAGAACGTTCGAATACTCAAATGTTATGTTCGTTTCAGCCCTAACACACACATACACACACACACACACACACACACACACACACACACACACACACACACACACACATACACACACACACACGTGACGGAGGCAAATAGCTGTGTAGCTGTAATTTCACGTTTCATGCAATTCAGTGATCAGCAGACAGCGGCATTCACAGAGGATCGCTGAACTGCTGGTGTGTATGTGTGTGTGTGTGTGTGTGTGTGTGTGTGTGTGTGTGTGTGTGTGTGTGTGTGTGTGTAAGGACTTGATGATACTGAGCATCCTTGGGGGAACACCAAACTTCTGGAGCAAACACCACAGCGCTGGACGGGGGATCGAGTCGTATGCCTTTCGCAAATCGACAAAGAGAGCATACAACGGCGAGTCATGTTCGTAAGATTTCTCAATCAATTGCCTGGCAACAAAGATCATGTCTGCACACCCTCTGCCCTTGCGAAAACCAGACTGTGACTCGGGAAGCATCTTCTCCGAGATTGTCTGCAGCCGGTTCTGAAGAATCCGCGCAAACAACTTCCCAACAACATCCAAAAGGCTGATACCCCTCCAGTTATCACAAACTTTCAAGTTGCCTTTCTTAGGTATTGGAACATGAGTCCTTGCATGAGTCGATGGAGGTGAAGGTCCGCATCGAGGGCGGTGTCACTGCTGCCATTAACGTCAACAACGGTCTGCGTCAGGGTTGTACTTTGGCACCCGTCTTGTTTAACTTGTATTTCTCTGCAGTCGTTGGGTATTGGCGCTCCATGTGCCCGGACGCTGGTGTTGAGCTGCACTACCGAGTTGGCCGAAAGTTGGTTGGAGACCGCACTGCCAAGTCCCGCCTGCAACGTGATGTCGTCACAGAGTCCCAGTTTGCGGACGATGCTGCAGTGTATGCCACCACTAAGCCGATTTTTGATCGGTGCACGGAATTGTTTATTTCGTGTGCGGCTCGGTGGGGCCTCACGGTCAGTCTATCGAAGACCAAAAGCATGACTGTCAATTCGCCCATGAATGAGCCGGTGTCTCTTGGTGAGAGCACCATCGAGGCCGTTGACAGTTTTACGTACCTTGGCAGCGTCATCCATCGGGACGGGCAGTCTTCGCATGATGTACAGTCCCGTCTCGCCAAGGCTTCGCGTGTGTTCGGCAGTCTCCGTGTCCCAGTGTTTGAGAATCGGTCGTTATCTCTCCGCTGTCGGCGCCGCGTGTACATCGCCCTTGTGCTGACGACCCTCCTGTACGGAGCAGAGACGTGGACGCCGAAGGCACCGGACCTGCGCTCTCTCAACACCTTTCATCACCAGTGTGTTCGCATCATCGTTGGCGTATCCAGGCGGGACCAGTGGGACAACCGCGTCACCTCGGTTACCATGGCCCGAACCCTCGGCATTGACTGTGACGTCGCGGACATCATCCGGGAACATCGACTGCGTTGGCTTGGCCATGTTGGCCGGATGAACGACGACCGCATGCCGAAGCGAGTTTTGTTTGGGGAGCTCCCTGCAACACGCCCTCGCCATGGTCCACGCAAGCGGTGGCGTGACGTCATCGTGGATGATCTCCGCTCCATCAGCCCCCCTGTGCCTTCTGACTGCTGGTTTGATGCTGCCCAGGATCGCTCTGCCTGGAGGCAGATTGCTCATCGTCGTCCTCCCGCCCGTGCTCCTCCTGATCCTGACTCTGGCTTTCGCTGCGCATGTGGAAAGGTCTGCCGTCGTTCCGGGGACCTCAAGCGCCACGCTCCGTACTGCAAAGCTAGCGGATAGTCCCTTTGCTATCATTGCCATCGGCAATGGGCACGTTCAAGGTTCAACGTTCAAGGTGTGTGTATGTGTGTGTGTATGTGTGTGTGTGTGTGTGTGTGTGTGTGTGTATGGTGGCGGTGGGGGGGGGGGGGGGGGGGGGTGGCATAAACATGACTATACTCTATACTTGGGAATATAATTGGCAGTATACACGTACAGTCTTGGGGGAGGGGGGGGGGGGGGAGGGGGGTGATAATGGTCTTGGAAGGGGTATAGACGCTTGGAGGGGGGGGGGGGATATACTCGTGGGGGGGGGGGGGGGGTATAATATGCTCGTACAGGAGTGGGGGTGGTATAGATACTCTTGGTACATTTCCATGCACTCTCACCTGAGTCCATCTCTTCCAGAAGGACAGTCCTCCATTGGGGATCCTCGCCTCCTTGTTCAAGACGGGACACATCGGAGTCGTTCCAGGCTCAAACACGTCGACTGCGTGAAAGCAGGTAGCGTGGTCGATGCACTTCCCTCTCCCGTGCGTAATGCACAGCACACTATCGCTCATCTTGCCACAACCGCATGCCACAGTCTCCTTCACAGCACAACAACCACAACAACAGACATGGATCATAAACACAACAACAGACATGGATCATTACCACAACAACAGACAAGTATCATAAACACAACAACAGACAAGGATCATAAACACAACACGTGTGATGATGGGCAATGTCGGTGGCTACCATGACAACAGGTGGACAACAACTGTACATGTATGGCGGGACAAGAAATGATCATCGAATGAAATTGTTCAATACTAGAGAAGAGCAAGTGGTAAGGAAGACTGTCCAGCCATTCACCAGCCATTCACTAGCCATTCACCAGCCATTCACCAGCCATTCACCAGCCATTCACCAGCCATTGTGGCCAGCTGTCTTTGATGGTAAGGTATGGGACAGGTACGGGATAGCGCCAGGCATGCTGATGGTAAAAACAAACAAACACGGAATTAAAGCTGTGTGGACCCTGGCTAGCGCCAGACGTTACTGAAGTACCGTAAAAGTTCGTAAATAAGTACGTATTTACTTTCGAATTTAGTGACCACACCCGTACTAACTTTCGGGCGGGTACTGACTTTCGGGCATGAACTAACTTTCGGACCTGACTTGTGTGTAGTGGAGAAGTCATTTTCATGTCGATGTACATGGTACGTGCTGCATGTGCGCATCGTACCGGTACTTATTTCGGGCAGTATGTTTATCGGGCTTGACTTGACTTCAACAGACAGAGCCAAAAGAATGAAAGGGGGTATTTCTTTCGGGCAGGTACTTATTTACGGACTTTTACGGTAACGTCTTTTGCATAGCTACGGGAGTAATGTGCAGTCATATACATGAAAGGACCAACATAAGTGCATGTACTTTCGTGTGCGGAAAGTCGTGGCACCCCCCTTGATCACTATCCTGCTTACGCCCCTGAAGTGTGAAATCTTACCCGAAGTAGTAGCCTCTTGTCCACCATCACGGATACCCACGTCTGGACTATGCCAGTGCCGGTGGAAGCCCTGCTTCATCTCTCACTGCGAGTCCTACAATGTTTTCGTCAAGCACAATAGTCTTGAAATTGGGCTGCGTGGGCAGACCCAGAACTCTGGTAGGGAAACATGTCTACGTAGCGGAGGTCTCTGCGCACGAAGAAACACACAGTTCGCTAAACGGCTGGAGATAAGTGGCACTTCTTCGCCGGCCCAGTTCCGAGGTCAGAACCGTTGATTACTCCTTGAAGAACATTCATGAAGTGGGGCAGTTCGCCGCTGCTCGACACGCTGAGTGGATCTACTATGGGCCATGGGAGTAAGCAACACAATACTATTTTGACAGTACAATTACTTCAGTAGCTAAACTCATCTTCTTCTTTTGCGATCAGTGTACAGAACTGTCTTTTTCGTCTTTTCTCATTGATTGTTTTAGTACGGAGGATTAGCAAGACGAAATTCGCGTTTGCGTTCGCTCTCCAAGGAAAGTCGAACTCACTATTGACGGAATTCCCGTTATGAGAAGGATTAGCAAACAGAATTCGCACATGCATGACGTTGACACGACGTTCATTGTGTACCATGGTGCACAGACAGTACAGCGTGGTAAATTTATGACTGCCCTGACACAAAATCCGCGATTCGTGTTCCAACTACTTTTGAACGAAAATGCGAAAGTTCGCAATCCAGTTCGCGAACTGAAAAAGTTTGCGAACGCGAACGCGAATTTCGTCTTGCTAATCCTCCGGCCATGGCATCCATGGTACGGATCGTATCATGCGTAGCACGACATGCTGCATCTGTCCTTTCTTTCTTTTTTAGGACTATTATCATGATTAGGGGTCGTCCACAAATATCGATGTTTTTTTAGAGAAGATATTCGTTCGTTTGGGGGGGGGGGGGTTGGGGACCTGTTCGTCTCGTCTTTGCAGAAAAAATATCGAACTCTATCTATGGACGGGCGCTGTTCGAACATGTAGTTTATGACCTACACAAAGTGAAAGTCAACCTCGTGAGCATAGCCATGGCAAGGTTGTGCGACCGTGGCAACATAAACCTAGGTGTACGGCGAAATTAGAGTGGCAGCTGGTCACGTTTCATGAGGAAATTGAACAAAACATCGATATTTACGGACGGCCCCTTATTAGATCTGTACAATCATCATAATATTATGTGGGTGATACCTCTGCTGCGCTGGCAGTGGTAGAGGCCCGGGTAGCGGCTTAGCGTGCACGAGCGGTAACAGACAATGACTGGAATATTGACTTGAAGTTGAACTTGCTGCTGTTTACCTAAGTAGGTATATACATTATTATGCTGTTTTGTTTTTTGCGTGTTTTTTCTTTCTTTTTTTTTCTTTCTAGAACTTTGAGTTGAAGTTTTTGGAACACTTGGGAAAATATATTCATTGTGTTTATTTTGCCCGTAAAAGAGGCTGACTACAATCATCATAATGTACTGTATACAATCATGTAGTATTTGCTTAATTAATTTCGCTACTTATGACGTACCAATTCGTACGTCGATCGTTTTTTTTCTATTTTCCATTTTCCCATTTTCACGTGAAATCGAATTTTTGTGAACTACTTCAGTAGGTTATTTGAAAAGCATAGTTTGGCCAGTCTTTCATCAGTGAAGTACATGATAGGATTACTGTATACTAGAATTGTATGACCGGTACGGAGGATGTAGAGTGTGCTGACAGTGCTCAACACTGCGGAGCCAGAGAGCGGAATACAGAACAGAACAACAAGGTAGGGGTGTGCGGATAATGCTCGAAAAGGTGGCAGATTCTGCCCGAAAAGCAATGAAATTGGCAGAACCATACAAACCTTATGGCGGGCAATTCCTCGAATTCTTCTCCATTTCTTTATCCACATACCAAAAATGCATGAAACTTACCAGAAAAAGTATCGAATTCTGCCAATTTTTTCTGCCGGCATTATCCGCATATGCCTACAACAAGGACAATCAAGGCCTGTTTGCTGCTACTTCAACTTCAAGTAATTTTAGTTTCATGCTCTCACGATCATCAGGCAACATACACGTTGTTCTGTTCTCAGTTCTGTAGAACTGTATCATGTAAATATTTTAGGTATAGTAAATTTTCGGTATCGGCGACCTGCCAGGTTTTAGGTGGCGAAATTTAGTCACACCGAAAATAACGTGATACAGTAATACACCATAGTACACATGCACGCTAGCGCTTTTTTGAAGCAAAACAATCTGTAGGGAATCGTACATACGACTCCCTGCTCTAGATCAGCCGCAGCATCCTGCATACTGTACTAGTGTAGACGTCGGTAGGACAGTGAGGTACATGTAGTGATCGAGTCAGTTTACTACTACATGTACATCAGTACATCTACTACTAGTACTGTAAAACTGAAAAGTCTAACGTTTTAACGACCAATTTTTTCGTTATTTGAAAAAACATTGTCGCTAGAGGTCTGTGTAAAGATGCGCATACAGATGGGTGGCCAGCAATTATTTAAGCAAAGCCATCGTTAAACTTTCTGCTCGTAATCATGCTAAAATTACAAAAACGTTAAACTTTTTGATCGTTATACTTTCCGGTTTTACAGTACCTGGAAGACAGTGTCTGCAGTGTACATCTGCCAGTGCCATGGTGTAGGTCTACTATCGGAGTAGATAAACATCTACTACTACACGTACTACTACATTATTGTAGTCTTGGTAGACCTGGTACTAGACCAGGGTCGGCAGGGAGCCCTACACAGAGTATACATACACAGAGTATACATACACAGAGTATACATACACAGAGTATACATACACAGAGTATACATACACAGAGTATACATACACAGAGTATACATACACAGAGTATACATACACAGAGTATACATACACAGAGTATACATACACAGAGTATACATACACAGAGTATACATACACAGAGTATACATACACAGAGTATACATACACAGAGTATACATACACAGAGTATACATATGTAGCGTCTCTGACGTTCTCGCATCATGATATCATCATTTGTTTGCATGTACACGTCATATTTTGCTCATCATCACAAACACTGATTCACCATACTCTGGCACACATTGTAATACCTACTACACGTACTTCGCTACCATAATAATTACGTAATGTTTGGCTAGCATAGTTCCAATACACATTACGACATCTTTTGATGTTACGCACTCCTCGCCTACAACGCTATTGTAGAAAAGTAGTCTTTACTCATCTCTTGTAAGTTCTGTTTGCATCCAAACACTTCTTCCAAACAGCACACGTCAGATATCTAACAAAACAACAAACTTCATTGCACAGTCTTCTATCACAATCTCTTTCCTATATAAACCTCCTTTCTCTTCACTTTCTTCATGACATTTAGTGTTCGCCAGTCTTGTAAAGATCTTGGAAACTAACACTCGTTGCACTGTATCTAGACTACTAAATTGGTGACCCCCGACGTGAGTAAAGTGCAATATGTCCAGCGACGATGGTTCTTCCGCTTCCGCCTCTGGAGCTTCAGCTGCCGCTAGCTCCTCCGCCCCGGCCCAAAACCAACCACTCGCCCGCAACGACCAACACGACGCACCGGACCGTCCGGTGTCTGCCATCACCTTCCGACTGCCGCAGTACTGGCCCGGCGATCCGCAGCTTTGGTTTGCACAGGCAGAAGCGCATTTTGCCAACCATCGCATCACCAACCCGCGGGCCAAGTATAATGTCGTCGTGAGTTCGCTGGCTCCTGAATACGCCGCTGAGATTCGGGACTTGCTCCTAGCGCCGCCAGCCGAGGAGCCGTACCAAGTCCTGAAAGAGGCGCTTACCGCACGCACCCAAAAGTCCGATCAGGCACGGTTGCGTGAGCTACTCTCGACGGCGGACATCGGGGACAGCCGACCAAGTCGCGTCCTCCGACGCATGCAACAGCTTTTGGGCAGTAAGTCTCTAGACCCAACTATCCTGCGCGAGCTATTTGTACAGCGTTTGCCCGTGACGGTCCGCCTGATTCTGGCTGCAACACCTGCAAGCCTCAGCCTGGACGACCTTGCAGCGCTTGCTGACAAGGTGGTTGAAAGCACGTGCTCAACCCCACTCACCGGTACAAGTGTTCACGCTCTGAGTGAAGCCCCTAGCCCTGCTCGGTCTAGTACGGCCTTATCATGTAGATCTACAGCGTCCACAGATGCGGAACAGGCCTGCACCGCTGACAGGGCTGAGATGGCCCAGCTCCGAGCTGAACTCGCCAAGCTGACGTCCGCTGTGAATGTGATGACCCGTGACACCGGTGCCCCTTCCCAGCGTGGCCGCCAACGAGAGCGTAGTCCCGGGCCACCGTCACGCCACCCAAGTGCCTCCAGGTCTCCCGGCCGTGACAATCACGACGACCTTTGCTGGTATCACCGTGCGTTCGGTGCGAAGGCGAACAAATGCCGAGACCCCTGCCGATTCCTGTCGGGAAACGGGAAGGCCAGCCACTAGTCGCGACCGCTCGTGTGGTTGGCCCCTCGAATACCGCTACCGGTCGCCTACTATTCGTCAAGGATCGCTCCCAGTCCGTCGAGTTCCTTGTCGACACCGGCGCCGCCGTCAGTGTTCTTCCTCCGTCATTCGTAACTCTGTCTCGTCGTGTTCATCGCAATAGTCCTCGTCTCCGTGCAGCGAATCAGAGCAGCATCGCCACGTACGGTCAGCAGCTGCTAGATTTAGACTTAGGTCTCCGACGCACTTTCAAATGGGTCTTCGTCGTTGCTGACGTCAGCTATCCGATCCTGGGTGCGGATTTCCTTGGCCACTTCCAGCTCACTGTCGACCTGGCCGCCAGATGTCTCCGGGATTCCACTACTCAACTTGCCGTTGTCGGATCCGCCTCGGATGTCAGCACCTCCGCTACCAACCTGCTGGACACTGATAGCCCTAGTGAGTATTCTGCCCTGCTGAGTGAGTTTCCTGACCTTGTCCGACCGACCACTGGTGACTCGCCTGTCAAGCACAATGTGACACACCGCATAGTCACAGATGGCCACCCCGTCCACGCTAAGCCTCGCCGTCTGGCACCCGACCGCCTTGCTGTCGCTAAGTGTGAGTTCCAACACATGTTAGATTTAGGCATTATTCGTCCCTCCTCTAGTGCATGGTCATCCCCTCTGCATATGGTGCCAAAGAAATCCGGTGACTGGCGACCCTGTGGTGATTACCGAGCCTTGAATGACTGCACGATCCCCGACCGCTATCCCATCCCGCATATTCAAGACTTTACGTCCCACCTGCATGACAAGATCATATTCTCTAAGATTGACCTCGTCCGTGCATACCACCACATTCCTGTGCACCCTGACGACATCCCGAAAACTGCCATCACCACCCCCTTTGGACTGTTTGAGTTTGTCCGCATGCCCTTTGGCCTTCGCAACGCAGCCCAGACATTCCAACGCTTCATTGACCAGGTAGTTTCAGACCTTCCCTTCTGCTTTGCATATCTGGATGA